CAGAGTGTCTGCTCCCTATGTTGTTTGACTGCCTGCCTCTGTCCACTTATGGGCGTGTGTTGCGGTAATTGTTGGCTTCACAGGACAGTCACAAGGGCACAAAACAGGGGTCATGCTAGGTTTATGACCATGGGGGTACTTTATAAGGTGTGTGTACACATCGCGGGTAATAATGAATAACATGTTCTTTCACTTCACTAACAATTCCGATTATTGTAGTAGTAGTTCATATTTCCATTTTTTCATTAACTGACCGTTTGCTATAAGAAGAGGCGTCTCGAGCAGCGATCGCCTTTTTCCCTATCTGATAGTTTGCATTGGCTCAGCTGTCTGTTCACTGGCTTGGTAATTACGTTCGTCGGTAAAATTTGCTCCAGACTTGCTCGGCGCGTTCTTACTCGTGAGAAGTGGAACGAGTTCACTATAGCAGAATACAAGGAAGACATTTGAAAAATTAATGTTACAATTATTGAAATATTGTAATAATATTGTTGGAAATACTAAGTAATGGGTGTGAAGACCAACCGAAAAATACTATCACCATTGTCCAAAAAAATGACCTGACTCTAAATCTGATCACATAAATACGTGATACCAAGGCCTAGTTGTAGAAATAGCCGAAACTAACAGTGTTAGGAAGTAAATACTGTGTTCAGAGTCCTTTGTACAAATATCCCCTCTGTCGAATCCAGCAGTGTTACCAAGTCCCATAACAAAATACACACCCGCTCTCCATTGAGGATGTGTTGACGTCAAATTAAAGCCTATAGACAACACACATACCGTCATGCACATTCTACTCATTTCACCCTTCATTCAAGATGACATTTTTAAAGGTGTTGTATAAAGATTGAAATAACCTAATGTAGCCGACCCGCCTTTACTAACTGATAAATATGAATAATGTGCGGAAAGCCTGATTAGTGGCATTTCCTTGGCTCATAAATACATAATGCTATATGCTACACTCATAGCAACTATGGTGGAGATAAATTATTCAAGGACTTTGATCTGAATGTTACTTTTGTGCCACATCAGCGATATATTTTATTCTGTGTGGTCAGCATAGACGTTTAAGTGTGTTGTTTTCTTTTATCTTTTGTTACATACGGCATGATGGAGCACTTGGTTGCTAACGTGGGTCTGGTCCTATACTCCTGACCAAAACAACAAAGCAGGTACAGGGGAAAATAAATGCATTTATACAAGACACAAAGACTAGGATTGTTTTTGTCTAGTTTTGGCGAGGGCTTTGGTATAAGCACGGGTAAATGTCTAGGGAGCTTGTCTCGTAGTTCAGTCAACATTTGGTTTAGACATGTAATAGATTTTGTGTTAAGGGCCTTAAGGGGAGGTAGGGGTGCAATAAAAAAGTTTTACTTCTAGCAAAACACGTATTTGAAAATGATTGGTTGACTCTAGATCTATGTTGGAGTTTCAGGACAATGTTTGGACGAGAAATTGTCTCAAAGTACTGCCATTCTTTCTTTGTGTTAAATTATGCAGATGAGATGTAAATCAAGATATGCTGATTTTAATCCATATGGAAAGTAAAGCTCAGTGATGCCAGAATATTGTCGAAATTTGGCGATGGGGCTGATATTTTAGCTGCAGTTGTGTTTTTTTTAATGTTTCGACGCTTCCGTTTGTTTATCCTAACAACTAGACTTACTGAAGCTAATCTAATGTTGTTTTCCATGTTCGCCGCACCGAAACGATGTTAAAACCCAAACTCATGCCGTCTGTAGAATAACAGTGTGCCACTCACAGCCGCCATCTTGTATACGCCACGTCTATTCTTGTAATGTCTGTGTCACTTTTGACATGTATTTATCACGTTTTTAAACAGTCCCGGTGAAATTTATAACAATAAGTGTTTGCGCCTGTTGAACGTGGTTCATATGTGTTTTAACTAGAAATACTGTTATTAAGGAAGAACGCTGGCATTTTATCGACCACCGGACCATTTTTTTTTTATTAGCTAGGGCTGTCTCTATGTTACAGTGGACTGCGTAATAAAGGGTGCTAAAAATAGATTGGTTCCATCCGCTGAGAGCTTAGTCGAAAAGGCTATTCTTCCTGTGTCTCTCGAGTAGGGAGAACCCCGATATAAAGCCGCTAGTTAAAAAGGTTTGGGCCTCGAGAGAGAAAGCCATTCTTGTACCCAGCATAATTGCACGGCTCTCATAAAGAAGGTCGGTGGTTGTCTGCGAAAGATGGCGGCACTAGTGTGTAGGCCGGGTCCAAATGACAACATTGTGTCGGGGCCTTCTTTAATCGATATCTGGTCGCGGTGGACTGCTGGTCCAAGCACTCGCCCCGTGCTTTGATTTCACCCTCCTCGCAAACAGGATTTCTCTCTGTCTCAAAACACCTCGAAAACAATCGCGTTGAGTGGATACTGTACGGGATCGATTGGTTTCTTTGTCGTGATTAGTCGTGCCGTCCTGTTGTCACCTTGCGACGGATGATTACCTCATATCTACGGCTTCTTTGTGCGTCTTTCAGTCTCGCTCTTATCTTTGTGTGCGCTTCAGGACTGTCTGTTGGTGCTACTACAAGACTGGCGTCCGTCGCGCTGGGTAATGCCTTGTGCTCGTTGACGCCGGGCTTGTTTTTTTGCCTGACGCCATACGATATTCCTTAAGGTCAACACTAGCCGGATGCTTTCTCCGGACATACTGGATAATACCCGGCGGCATTCCGTGTGTGACTGACGGAGACGGCAAGTGATCTTTGCCGCGTTGCCTTCGGGGCGAAATCGTCTTTGTTATTTTCTAATGTCGCCATCGATTCTGTTCTCGTTTAGTGGGGGTTGTTGATGTAAATTAAAATAGTTTTTTTTTTTTTTTTTGCGCATCTTGTCAGCTATACTTTGTTATCCTCACCGGCTTTGTGTATTGTTAGATTGTTTAATGGTGGTGTGTTACAGTACAGCTTGGTGTTACTTTATTTTGTTTAGAGTTATTTACTCGTAAGTAAGGCTGACGTCTTACTCTGGTCTGGATCTATACCAGATAGATAGATAGATAGATAGATAGATAGATAGATAGATAGATAGATAGATAGATAGATAGATAGATAGATAGATAGATAGATAGAAACACTGTGTATGGGCGTGCGGGTGATCAAGTTTCCACTCATAAATTAACTCACACCATATTGCAACAGTTGTTTTTTTTCTATCAACCTGTTAACGACCTGTTTACCGTGTCATCCTGTGCTAATAATTTAAATAACTAGAGAGATAGACACTGTGTGGACCTTGCCTAATGCCAGGGGTGTCGTGAAACCTTAAATAACTAGAGAGATAGATGGGTCTTACACTGTGTGGACCTTGCCTAATGCCAGGGGTGTCGTGAAACCTTAAATAACTAGAGAGATAGATGGGTCTTACACTGTGTGGACCTTGCCTAATGCCAGGGGTGTCGTGAAACCTTAAATAACTAGAGAGATAGATGGGTCTTACACTGTGTGGACCTTGCCTAATGCCAGGGGTGTCGTGAAACCTTAAATAACTAGAGAGATAGATGGGTCTTACACTGTGTGGACCTTGCCTAATGCCAGGGGTGTCGTGAAACCTTAAATAACTAGAGAGATAGATGGGTCTTACACTGTGTGGACCTTGCCTAATGCCAGGGGTGTCGTGAAACCTTAAATAACTAGAGAGATAGATGGGTCTTACACTGTGTGGACCTTGCCTAATGCCAGGGGTGTCGTGAAACCTTAAATAACTAGAGAGATAGATGGGTCTTACACTGTGTGGACCTTGCCTAATGCCAGGGGTGTCGTGAAATCTTAAATAACTAGAGAGATAGACGGGTCTTACACTGGTAGTTGGGTGGACTTTGCCTAATGCCAGGGGTGTCGTGAAACCTTAAATAACTAGAGAGATAGACGGGTCTTACACTGGTAGTTGGGTGGACTTTTACTAATGCCAGGGGTGTCGTGAAACCTTAAATAACTAGAGAGATAGATGGGTCTTACACTGGTAGCTGGGTGCCCCTTGCCTAATGCCAGGGGTGTCGTGAAACCTTAAATAACTAGAGAGATAGACGGGTCTTACACTGGTAGTTGGGTGTCCCTTGCCTAATGCCAGGGGTGTCGTGAAACCTTAAATAACTAGAGAGATAGACGGGTCTTACACTGGTAGTTGGGTGTCCCTTGCCTAAAGCTAGGGTTAGGAGTGTCGTGGAACGACATATGAAAATTCGAGGGCGGTTGTTCAGATACTATTTTTATCTCGATAGTTTCAGTCTAGAGATTTTGGTGACTCCATTTCAGGATCATTTGATGGCGGCATTTCATTGGTAGTAATAAGAAGAAAATTAGATGGCGGCATTTTATAGCTTTCGTTGTTGGTAATTTAGAGAGAATTTGATGGCTGCATTTCTTCGCTTTCATTGGTGGCAATTCAAAGATAATTTGATTGCGGCATTTTCTAGGTTGCATTGGCGGTTATTTAGAGAGAATTTAATGTCGGCATTTTAGACACTTTTGAAGGAGACATACCAGAGACGTTTCTTTTATGGAAGTGGATACACATTTCTTGGAAATGGATACATATTTCGTTGTTGACATTATAATTTTGCTTAAAATAGTGCAATAGAATTCGGAAATGTGAAGAGAAAAGTTAAATTTTTTATACTCATTGCATCAATTTAGATAATAATAATCTCCAATTTAGCATCGTGTCTTGCTGCTTTTATTCAAGTGGTTTAGTCTGTAGTCTTATTCGAGAACATTCTGTGCCGATTTAGAAATTGATAGTGATTAAATTTCTAGCTCTAACCGTATTGGTTCATGCTGATGTTGATCGTGTGTGAAAATATCGATTTTGATTGCCTATGTTCTCTGATGGCTAATGAAAAATTCACTCCGCTGTTATTTAAATCTATTTTTAGCCACCCTTTGATGCCGCGTCAGTTGGGGGTGTTGTGAGTGGTGCTAGACTAGGAGAGTAATTTCCGCCTAGTCTAGAACCGTGTTTTTTTTTCTACCAGGCTGTAGATTTTTGTTTCAGCTGTTTAGTCGAAGGTTCCGATTGATTGGTGTGTCCGTGATTAGTACAGCCAACGTGTAGGAGCCGTGTAGCAGTGCGTGTATAAACAATATCGTGTGTATGGGTACAGCAGCGGAGCGTGGCTAGACGGAGCTCGCACACGGGCAGGCAAGCAGGCGGACAGGCGGGGGGAGCGCGCGTGTAGTGAGGGCCCTGTGTGCTGCCGAGTGTGTGTGTCGTGCATGAGAGCTGGCAACTTTACCAGATGTTTGGTTTGTATTCATTTTTTTTATATCTGTTTTTTTTTTGTGTCGTGTAAATGTGTGGTATAAAGACACTAAACTACGTGTCAATATCAGGTGTTAGTTTGTAGAAGACAGGGTTAGTCTAGTGGAAGACGGGCGAGAAATGGCTACTGCACTCTTACTGACCCAAAGCGGCCTTCAGCGAGCTGATAGCGAGCAGCCTTGGGCAAGAGAAAATTTAAAAACTGATACTTTTATCGCTGATGGTGTTCTTTATTTGCTCGGTTACCGTCTGGTTACCGTGGTGATTTTATTACATTAAGATACTCTTCTGGGTTTCAGTGTATTGTTGATAGGGGGTTTTATGTGATGGTTTTAGCACCATTAGTACTCAGTACATGTGTACTTTAAATGAGTGATATCGTTTGAAAGTATGAAGATTTCACATATTTGACATATTTTATTTACTTAAATAAATCTTCTTCGATCTTAACAGGTTTTTTTTTTTTTTTTTTTTTTGTGAGATTCAAAATTTTCCCTTTAAGAAAACAGTTATGAGTTTAGACATAGTATTAATGTTAAAATGTCCTGGTGTGATCATTATGTGAATGGTGAGTCAGGGTACTGACCAGGTGGTACACACATAGTACTTTAGATCCAGAGCTAATGTTAGGGTCTATAACTCCTGAAGTGTTCTCTAGTTCATGCAATGTACCTGGACACACACTCACTGTGACTTCAATTCTTAACTCAACACCTTTTTTCAGTTTCAGCTACCATGTTTTGAACACCTTTTTTATTGTTTCAGCTACCATGTTTTTAAACACCTTTTTTCCCTTTTTCAGCTACCATGTTTTTGAACACTTTTTTTATTGTTTCTGCTACCGTGTTTTTGAACACCTTTTTTATTGTTTCAGCTACCATGTTTTTGAACACCTTTTTTTATTGTTTCAGCTACCATGTTTTTTTAACACCTTTTTTCACTGTTTCAGCTACCATGTTTTTGAACACTTTTTTTTATTGTTTCAGCTACCATGTTTTTGAACACCTTTTTTCACTGTTTCAGCTACCATGTTTTTGAACACCTTGACTCCCAAGTTCTATGTGGCCTTAACTGGAACCTCTTCACTCATATCTGGACTTATCTTGGTGAGTGGTTGTAGCTTTAGAATTCTTACCTCCCTTGATAGCTTGTGATAGCTTGTGATAAATAATATGCTCTTGTGTGCATGTACTTTTTGTCCCAAATGTGAATATATTGCAAACTCTTCTGGTGTACATTGACAAATATGTGGTAAATAACACCAACTTTTTTTTGTTGTTGTCTAGTTCTATTCAAATAGCAATAAATGAGCAGAAAATTATATTTATGAGATTAAATTTATTTCTTCAGTTGTGTGAGTTGTAGAACTTGTGTGATATACATTTGATGTTTGTGTTGACTAGTATCACTTTTCTAACTTAGCATTAACATCATGTCTTGATACCAATCACAATATTGATTCATATTTTATTATAGTAGTGCCCTTAATGGAATAATAAAGTGTTTTATTTTTTATTTTTGAACTTTTTAATTGTAAGGATTAATATTCCATGATAAAGCTTTGTGATTCATCCTAAAATTATTTTATTTTATAATTTAAAAATAAAAACTAAACTTACTAGAATTAAATACTGTTGTATATTAGAGTTTAATTCTTTTTTTAAAACTAACCATTGCTATTCTATTGTTCAAATTGCAATTGTAATAAATGATAAGTATTTATTTCTCATAATAAAATATGTATCTTTTATTTTATCTTTTAATTCATGAGATTTTTCTCCCAAGTGTATTCAACTATAATACACATTTTTCCCAAAAAGCATTTAATTATTGAACCCAGTTGTTATTATCTTTAAAATATTTTTTTAACACTGCCATTTTCTTTTTAAGTATTTTATTTTTTTTTCTTATTTGTTCTTCTTTGTTTTTAAAAGACCTGTTATCTCCCCTTTTAAACTCATCCTTGAGGAAGATGCTTCTAATATTTAAAGCTACTTTGTTAGCTCCCTTCTGACAGAAGTTTATTTTGGCAAGTTTCCTTTTGGAAAACAGATGCATGAAAGAAATCAAGTAATTTAGGGTATTCAAAAAACCTGACAGAAATGTTTCCTTGTCACAGTGAATTAGCTTAAATGTATAGGCTATAATGAAATTTAAGATTGTGTTTTCTTTAAAAGAATGCATTTTCTTTTGTTTATATTTTTGCTATTACTTACTGCATTAGTTTGTGTCAGATCTCTTGTTTTTTTTTTTTAAATTAGCAGTTATTTGCTTTATAATTGAATGCTAATGTAATTTATTTAATATTTAACTATTATTTTTTCGTAAGTTTTAATAAGTAAATTGTTGAGGTTTATCATAAATTTGGGTTTACAATTTTCTGCATTGAAAAGGGGAATTGTCTGTTTCTTAGTTTGAGGTAATGTGAAGCAGAAATGATTAAAGATCTTTTGACCATAAACTATGATCAAAAAATATGTGGGTAATGTATTACAATAAATTTCAGACCACTAAATATATAGGTAACCATACAATAAACTTGAAGATTATTAAATATTTGAGTACAAATAAACTTACATCTCATTAAATATTTGGGTACCAACTATCTAAAATTTTCACATTACCAAAATTAATTAACTCTTGTGCCAGAGGCCAGTAAAAATGTACATGTAAAAATCATATTGGCACTTAGTCATTTCTTCTTGTGGTAAGAGAATCTAGGTAATAAGGCTTCAGAACCAAAAGAGTTTCCATGTTTTCTCAGGGTTTCCAATGACTATTCTGTGTCACATAGCGGTCTGTTGAATTTTTTTTTTAATATATTTTTGTGCAAATTATGTGAAACAATTAAATTTTTATAATTTTTTTTTTTTTGTCCTGAACAGCTATAAAATTAATTAAAGTATGAGTTGCATTATGTTTTAACATATTTTAGACACCTTGGCTAACAATATTATTTAACTATCAGATATTTTAAAAAAACTATGAGGTGGCCTTTTTTAAAAGTTTCTGGTATGGTTTTTTAAAACAATCACTTATTAACAAGCTGGGGTTACCAAAAAACTGATGACTTACATGTTAAACCTGATTGTAAATTTAAAAAGAACTTTGTACACATGCTTGATTTTTTAAAAATTTTATTTAAAGCTTTTATGATCAGTGATACATTTTCTCACTGTGTGCTTGTAATTTTAGATTACACTAACTTTAGTAGATCCATGAAATAGTCAATATATAATCAATAGAGAATAGATATCTAAGAATGCAGAATGGGTGTTTTTAAAATCTTTTTTCTGAACTTTCAGGCAATATGAGTTCTTCTATTATCACAAACTTTATGTCCTTAACCATTTTTTCTTTTCAGATCTTTGAATGGTGGTACTTTAAAAAGTACGGCACATCCTTCATAGAGCAGGTTTCACTGAATCACATAAGTCCTCTCCTTGGGGGTGGGGATGCAAGCTCAGAAAGCACAGCCACAAGCAGCATCAACGGCGCGGCCACCACCAACGGTGGCACTATCATATCCAATGGCAGCGTGGAGAATGGCAGTCGAGCTTCTAGTCAGCAATCCTCTTTACCTGGTCAGTCATCAAGTCAGTGCCAATTACATTTCTTTTCTTGCTCCTGGGGTGGTCCGCGTCTTTTCCATCTTCCTACCAATTATTGTTTTGTTGGCCAGGTTCACATTTCTTCCAACCATGTTTCAATCATTTTTTTTGTTCTGTTCATATGATTTAATCCATGTTTTTGCTTTTGCCTCCCGATACCAATTATTTTGTTTTACTAATCTAATCCACATTTTTGCTCTTTCATCTTCATGTCTGTTATTTTGTTTTGTTGGCCTGGTCCACATTTTCGCTCTACCATCCTGTTATTTATTTTGATTTATTGATCTAATCCACATTTTTATTCATACACAAGTAAATCCTACTCAGTTTTTGCTATAACATTTATAACTGCTGTTTATAGACTATTGGCAACACAAAAAAGGGATGTAACCCTTTATGTGTTCATTTGATGTTAATGGTGCAAAGAGATGATTTTATTTGATTATTTACATGGTTCACGCCAAGTCTACAAAAAAAATAACTAAGCATTTAACAGGAGACCCACTCTGGAAAATGTAGGCTTTTTCAAAATTGTCTTCAGCTTTGCTCTTAGAAAATATGATTTTGTTGTGTTTATTTACAGAATGTAAAGTCTGGCGGAACCCCTTAAACCTGTTCCGTGGTTCTGAGTACCAGAGGTTTAACTGGGCGACGGGGAAAGAACCACTGACATACTATGACATGAACCTGTCTGCCCAGGACCACCAGACCTACTTTACATGTGAGGCAGACACAGGCAAGCCTGAATATGAAAGTAAGTAACTGACATTTGTAACTGTTGTTTCTGCTCTCTAACAGTAAAACTGTCATTACTACCTGTTGCTTTTGATTCATCTGGCATTAACATGGGCATTAATTTAACACCTTTATTTCTTTTTAATGCAACAGTTGGGAAAACTTTCTAATTTAGCTTTAATCAACATTATGCTAAAATGAAAGTAGCTAAAATTCTTTTCATGATTCCCAGTTTTTTATATAAAGCCAGGTTTATAGTATTTAGTAAATAGGGGAGTGAACTGCTGAATGTCTGCTAATGATGGATATTATTGTTGCAGTAGTAACTGGTGAAGCGTGTGTTATTTCTGAAAGAAGTTTTTGTACTGCTAATGAGCTGTTTCTGTTGTCCACAGTTATGCAGATGGCATGGAGAGAGAGGAACCCCCAATCTCGCATTAAGGCTGCACACAATGCTCTGGAAAAGAACCCCGAGTCAGTTCATGTTACTAAGATTTCAGTTCACAAAGAAACCTTAAAAAGATAGATTTTTTTTTTCTAAAAGCTTATCTCCCTTCGGAACTATTCAATTTTCTTTTTTCTTTTGCAAATTTAATTGGATAACTTGTTAGATAAAGCTTAATATTTTGGAAATGGATTTTTTTATTATCTAAATATTCTTTAATTAACCCATTTACAAAACTTGTTTGTTTTTCAGATGTGCCACAGCAATGGTGCTTTTAGCAGAAGAGGAAACAACCACAGTTTTAGAGGTAACAGGTTTTTAATTTTTTTGTTTCATAACAGCCATTACCACCATAAATGTATAAATGTTAAAAATATATTTACTTTTTGTGTGGAAATAACTCTGAAATGCCGCCAAATAAATTACTAACACTGTTTTTAATTTAGAAAACAGAAAGTTGAGTCCATTAGGTTTCTGTTTTATGTTAATAACTTTTAATTTTTCAAATGGAGTTAAAGAAGTAGCTGTTAAAGGGCAACAACCGAGTTGTAACAAAGTTTATCTCTTTCTCCCAGTGTGAGAAAATGTTCAAGCAAGCATATAAAGCAGCTGAAGGCAGTTATAGAAAGTCACAGGCCACACAACATCAGAACTCAACACAAGAAGCTTTGCACCGTAAGTTTTTCTACATATCATCTACAATATAAAAAAAAAACTTTCTTTAAAAGTATTCATTTAAGTGCTACTATTACTGAGCTTAACTGTATGTTTGTTTATAAGACTTATGATTAACTCTTTAAATAAAAGATTGGTATTCAGCTAAATTTGACTATTTTGTTGTCTAGTTACATGATGACTGCTTTGTTTTTTATTTTTTAAAACCTCCAAGCCATTGTAGAATTGCAAATACCCAATCTATTTTAACAGCAAAAAAAAAAGATTTTTTTATTATTTTATAAGTACAGCACTTATGAACATTCTGTTTTTTATTTAATTATAATATTCATGCTTGCTGTATGAATTCATCCCTCAGGTCGAGATATGAATGTTTTAGTTTACATAAAGAGAAGACTTGCTATGTGTGCTCGTAAACTAGGCAGAACAAGAGAAGCTGTGAAGATGATGAGAGATGTAAGTAATTAACTGGACAGAACAAAAGGTTGTAGCTCTCGAATGCTTGTTTGTATGTTTTCTTAGTTAATTTTGGAATAGGTAAAAATAAGAGATGTGATAACTGTAATAGTTATCCAATGTTTTCTGTTGGTGGTTGTTTTTTTTTTTGTTGTTTTTTTTTTTTTCTATTTGCCTATATTTATAGCCATTTTTGTTTCTAAAAAATATTTGTTGCTTCTTAACTTACTTTTTGATCTTGTAAGAAACATTTTTTTGGACTGAGAAATTATTTTTTGGCCTTAACTCTCCAGTTGTTGAAAGAGTCTCCTGTTATGAACTTCAACATTCATGAAAATTTGATAGAGGCGTTGCTTGACTTGCAGGCATATGCTGATGTCCAAGCTGTTTTAGCCAGGTTTGATGGTGAGCTGGTGTTACTTCAACTCCTGACTATGAATTAATATCTCATTTTAAATCTAATTTGATACTTAACAAGTTATTGAAAGTTATTTTTAAAATTTCCATATTCAATAACAAAAGGGGAGATAACAAGATTTAGTAGTAGCAATAATTAATTGAGCGTAGTCATGTCAGTTTTTAATCTTTGCAGCTGACTAGTCACTCCAATAAGTGGCAGATAATTGTAATCTAGACGCGCTGATTGATTTTTAAAGCCAATATTTTATGTGTTGTATGTCAATTAATTACAAAAAGGGAATGGAAAGAAAAAAATATGGTATTGTTTTTAAGACTTAATTATTGACTTGGATGTTTACAATATCAAAAAAGTAGAAAATAAAACAAAAGCATTCCTTTGTATTAAAAAGTTTTTAAATGCACTAAAATAATAAAATAAACATTTTTTTTTAGCAGTAACTGTAAAAAAAAGTGTTGGCTGAGAAAAAGATTTTAATGTTCATTTTACTTTGTTATAAAAACAAGGACTGTCTTTGTTGTTTCCCTTAGACATCAGCTTGCCAAAGTCTGCTACAATATGTTACACAGCAGCCTTGTTGAAAGCAAGAGCAGTAGCTGATAAGTAAGTTGTGCTACAAAACACCGGTCAATAGCTTTTTATAAGCCTAGCTGTTATCTAAGTTACTGTAGTGGAAGAAGGTTGTCCTTTGTTGTCCTGATGTTGACTGTGTGGTGGTCTGTTACTGTCATGGCTGATTGTATGTTGTACAAATGTTTTTGTGTCAAGTCAGCAGCTCTACATCTATATATTTTTGTTGCTTCAGGTTTTCTCCAGACATAGCTTCTAAAAGAGGATTAAGTACAGCAGAAATGACAGCGGTAGAAGCAATTCATAGAGCTGTTGAGTTTAATCCACACGTTCCAAAGGTTGGTAGAAGCTTTAACTATCAGTACAGACTTTCACATACACTGACATTCATGTTTTCTTTTATATAATCATAGTCCTTGTCAATTTAGGTGCATATTATCTATTTTCTTCATAGAAGTGCTCTTATCATCATGTGACATTGTTATTTACATACAATCATCATGTGGCTTTATTTACATTCAGTCATCATGTGACATTGTTTACACCCATTCATCATGTGACAGTGTTAATGTTTTCACCCAACTATCATGTACATTCATTGTTTATATTTGGTTTCAGTATCTTTTAGAAATGAAGAGCTTGATCTTACCCCCTGAACATATTTTAAAGAGAGGAGACAGTGAAGCTATCGCATACTCATTCTTTCATCTGCATCACTGGAAACGTGTGGAGGGAGCTCTCAACCTTTTACATTGTACATGGGAAGGAAGTCAGTTTTATCTACACCCTTCACCATAATCTATCATTTTTTTAGCACTACCTTAGCAAATTTAACTTTTATATAGCGTTTTTGCTACGTCTGATACTTTTTATTTTAATTAGGATTCTAGATTTAGAAAAAGTGGGAAAACAAATATTTTTTTGATATTTAAAAATAGTGCAAAAATTTGTTTTATGAGAGTTAGTACAAAATTTTCCTTGTTGCTGGCATCACATTTTGGTGCATTTTTTGGGGCTATTTCATGATTGGGATGTGTACATTAATTAGTATTAATTGAACACGTGATGAAGTGGTGGGTAGTCCTGAATATGGAAATTGATAATAATAGTAGTTGTGTTATTCTTTGCTACAGCTATGAGATGCACTGTTACTGTTTATTAAAAACCTCTTATTAAATTTGTTATCCATTTACTGTTTAGATAAAAATAAATGTTTGTTCTTTGTTAAAAGTTATAATTTTTGTGAATTTTTTTAAAAACACCTTAATTAAAAATGTATTTATATTATAAGTTTAGTTCCACTTACTTTGAGATTGGGATGTGAGAAACATTTCTTGTTTAAAAAAGCCAGCTGTCTCTCATATGTTAAGCCATCTCAGGGCTGCTGGCTTCAGTCCTATACAACAAAACAACTCAATGTACATGGACATTTTCAAAAGTTGCTTCTAGTCAGCTGTTCAGATTCTTATTGAAATGTTACTTGGTACAGTTAATTCTTGAAACATATTTTACTTTGAATTAATTCATGTTTTTGTTTAATTTTCAGCATTTCGTATGATTCCCTACCCATTAGAAAAAGGACATTTATTTCACCCTTACCCAACATGTACAGAAAATGCTGACAGAGAACTGTTGCCAGGTAAGCTTTGCATTTTGATGTTTTAGATTTGTTTCTGTTTTTGTGTTGTCTTTGGTGGGATAATTTTATTTAGCTTTGGTGAAATAGATTTAGAAATTGAATAAATTGTAATTCACTTGTTCTCATTCTATGGTGGTAAAAATTTTCAAAATTTGTTTGTTGCTGTGTTAAGATTGTATTTTATTGGGTTTTTTAATACTTTCTTTGTATATCTAGTTTGATAATATTTTTCTTGTCCCAATGTGTTTCAGCCTTCCATGAAGTATTTTATTGGGTGTTTTAATAATTTTTTCTTTATATCTAGTTTGATAATATTTTTCTTATCCCAATGTGTTTCAGCCTTCCATGAAGTATTTTATTGGGTTTTTTAATAATTTTCTCTGTATATCTAGTTTGATAATATCTTTCTTCTCCCAATGTGTTTCAGCCTTCCATGAAGTATTTTATTGGGTTATTCAATACTTTCTCTTTATATCTAGTTTGTTAATATTTTTCTTGTCCCAATGTGTTTCAGCCTTCCATGAAGTATCTGTCTACCCCAAGAAAGAGTTACCCTTTTTTATCCTGTTTACTGCCGGACTGTGTTCTTTCACTGCCCTCCTCGCCCTCCTCACACATCAGTATCCTGAACCCATGGGTGTTGTCGTCAGAACAGTGAGTACCACCATCTTCTCTACCACTCTAGCGCCACACGCTTATTGAGGTTGTCCAACTGGCTTGACGCCTGCATTAAATTTTTTTTTTTCTAGATGCTCGGCTGGCTTTATCTCCCTTTGAGCTACATACTGGAAAAGTTAGAGGCAATTTTGCCATCAAATCTGCTGCATCAGCTGTCTCGCATTTAGTAAGATTTATCCGTCTTAAAACATAGTCTTGATTTCTTTTTTTAAATAATATCCCCCTGATTCAGTAGTGGGTAGGGAAGGGTTTTCTACATATAATGTGTTTATTAAAATGAGCACACTTTTGCGGGCTTTGCTAATTTAATTGTGTTTTTTCAGATTGACGTATCATCCCCTGGTCCATCACTGACGTCCCTATCAGGCACATCATTATCACCTTCATTACAGACTTGGCGCTTTTATGTTCTTGTTATTTTGTGTAAGCTGGCCATTGGCTGACCTAGTTGTGTAAGCTGACCAGTGACTGACCTAGTTGTGTAAGCTGACCAGTGACTGACCTAGTTGTGTAAGCTGACCAGTGACTGACCTAGTTGACCAGTGATTGATCTAGTTGTGTAAGCTGGCCATTGGCTGACCTAGTTGTGTAAGATGACCAGTGACTGATCTAGTTGTGTAAGCTGACCCGTGACTGACCTAGTTCTATAAACTGACCAGTAACTGATCTAGTTCTTTAATGACCAGTAACTGATCTAGTTGTGTCATCTGACTGTGTTGACTGACCTAGTTCTGTAAAGCAACCAGTGACTGACCTAGTTGTGTTAGCTGACCAATGACTGACCTAGTTGTGTAAGCTGACCATTGACTGACCTAATTGTGTAAACTGACTAGTGACTGACCTAGTTCTGTAAACTAACCAGTAACTGATCTAGTTGTGTCATCTGACCATTGACTGGCCTAGTTCTGTAAGCTGACCAGTGACTGACCTATTTCTTTAAGCTGACCAGTGACTTACCTAATTGTGTAAACTGACTAGTGACTGACCTAGTTCTGTAAACTAACCAGTAACTGATCTAGTTGTGTCATCTGACCATTGACTGGCCTAGTTCTGTAAGCTGACCAGTGACTGACCTATTTCTGTAAGCTGACCAGTGACTGGCCTTGTCTGCTTAGTACAGTAGTCGGCAACCTTGTAGTACTAAACCTTTATTGATCAAACAGCTCTGTATAATAACTAGATACTTAAAAAGATTGGTAAAATGGGTTTTAATTGTAATTTCTACAGTCTACTTCATCAGGACCATTGTATAACTAACACTCTCTGTGTGATTTCTTCTTCATACTTTTAAAACATCTCTGTACTTGTAAAGGTTGCTGACCCTTGACCTAGTGTAATAACTGGCCAGCTACAAGTCCAACTGGTGTTATTGGCCAATGACTGGCTGTGTCCACTTATTGTAAGCTGGCCGCATCCACTGTTTGCTGGCCTAGCCGTAGACTCATTGACTGATATTTTTTCTGTTGGCTACAAAAACCAACCCAACTCTCTGGGGTATCATATCATGTGTTAGTGCTTCAGGCTGTGGTGTAGCCTCAACACCCTGCTACATCTGGCTACCACAGCTGACAGACAGGTCCTGTTGTACAAACACAATTCTCTCCTGTTGGTCAATAGAATTTCTGGACCAGCGCTATCTCAAGATTTCACATCCTTGTACGAAATAATTGTGGCAAAAAAAGGGTAACAATACAGCTATCACTATGTTTTCTAGAAAAATTGTTTTCTAACTTGTTATTTAATCACCAAAAAAATAAAAGGCTAATTTACATGACTGTTGCTGATTGGCTAGCACAATTCAGGTTTGTTCCTGGGCAGGGAGATAACTCCAGAATTTTATTAGGTTTAACAGTTAACTAGATGTTATTATTGACAGTTAGTGTTAAGCTTCTCTGTTAACTAAAATAATGTTTATGCTTTCAAAATGGTTATATTACATGGAAGAGGAAGTATATTCTCCTGTATTAAAAGTGTAATAGATTGGTACAAATTAGTGTTAAAATGGTCTGTTCCTCTGGTATATGTTTTAGAGGTAAAACAGACAATTCTCTTAAATAAACATTAAAAGAGTAATAGCATTGGTACTATTTGCGTGTAATTATCTAAAATGTGATACTGTATTATTAACTTGATAGATTTATGTGTCAAGCTAAAGTAAATTTGATGAACTAAAAAAAACTGTTTGTTATATTTTTTAAAAATTGTATTGATTTTTTTCTTAATTTTTTGTGTACACAATGTTTTCTGTACAAGTATAAACGTCAAATATATACAGAAGTCCTACAGAATTAATGCAGTTTTTAAAAGGCTATAAAGAACACATTTACATTTTAAAATTTAAAGCCATACTTTAAAAATGTTTAGGGTAAACTGAACAAGTTATTAAGAAAAACTACAGAACCATGTAATAAAAAATTTTAAAAAATGTTACACAACAAATAAAGAGGAAAAATAATGATACAGCACAAATGTACAGAAAAAGTGCAAAAATTCAAAGTATATAGGCCCTCATCTATCAGCACACGGAAAAAGATACAGACCAAATGTGGGTGTAATACAATGGGGGGAAAATATAGAAAAGGTAACTGCCTCATCTACTGAAATTCTGTTGATACACAGAACAAAATGAGGCTGCCTGAATGACATTTTACGTGAATTAAGAATTTGATCCATGGGTCTTCAAGCTTTATGGAAAGGCAATCTATACAAAATGGTCGTTTTTACTGAGATTCTTAGCAGTTAATACATCAGTGGTTCAATATACATTGCAATGATAAAAATGCAGTTGAATGTTGATACACGATGAATTACTTGATATCGTTGACATTGGTTGATATAAGTTGAATGACGGTGGACTTTACAAAAAAGGTTTCAAAAATGTTTTTGCCCGCCTCTGAAATTGTGCCTGCAAGAACAAGAAAAAACAGTTTGTAGATTAGTGTGATCATTATTTCTTAAATTGTGGATTATTTGTGGGGTGGGCAACTATACTAATTAATCGGTGTCTGCTTGTTGTCCATGTCGGCATTTTGTCCGGATCCACTAATGGACACCAGCGAGAAAAGTCTCAAAGGTATTTGAGAGGTGTATAAATTCATTTAAAAATCATGCACAGCGTAGTTACAATTAATATGGTTATAAAATCTTGTCTGTCTGGTTTTTTTCGGACTTTACTAAAGATTGGATGTATTTGATGTTTATAATATTTTCGGTAACTAAATAAAAATTTAAAAAAAAGCAAAAACAATTTGGTTTTCACGTGTAATGGCGACATAAACAATGGCATCCTGCTATTGGATAGGCCGCCATTGATTTTATTGTACACATTGTAAGCTAAAAATAGAAAACTAGGTCATGGAGTTTTAAATTTGCATTGTTATTTAAAAACTTGATCTGCAAAGTTTTGTAAACAAATAGTTATCGATCACTAAGTTACTGTACAGCCAATCAGTATTTGTCTTACGAAAGTGAAACATCCGGTTATAACTTAGGCTTGATGAAAAAAAATAGAAATGTAGCCTTAAACTCAACAAATTATTTTCAAGTTCTCTGGATTTGCAACTTTTATAGCATTTATTCTAAAAATATAAAATTTCTAAATTAATTTTAGGCTTAAGTTTTTATTTTTTATTTTTTTTTACGGTCTAAATCTAAAAAGCACGTTTTTATTCCATATCAACAACATTATGGAAGGAATCTCGTCAACTCGCTCGCCTCCATTGACGGACGACGTGGTCGGGCAGAAGAGATTTCTAACCCGAAGTCTCAAGTTTAGATACAGGACGCGGGTAAAACTGCGCAACCTATTATGGACACCCACTAAACTAAAGAACTAGACTTCTATTATGGACATTCACTAAACTAAAGAACTAGACACCTATTATGGACATTCACTAAACTAAAGAACTAGACACGTATTATGGACACCCACTAAACTAAAGAACTAGACTTCTATTATGGACATTCACTAAACTAAAGAACTAGACACCTATTATGGACATTCACTAAACTAAAGAACTAGACACCTATTATGGACATTCACTAAACTAAAGAACTAGACACCTATTATGGACATTCACTAAACTAAAGAACTAGACACCTATTATGGACATTCACTAAACTAAAGAACTAGACACCTATTATGGACATTCACTAAACTAAAGAACTAGACACCTATTATGGACATTCACTAAACTAAAGAACTAGACACCTATTATGGACATTCACTAAACTAAAGAACTAGACACCTATTATGGACATTCACTAAACTAAAGAACTAGACACCTATTATGGACACCCACTAAACTAAAGAACTAGACACCTATTATGGACATTCACTAAACTAAAGAACTAGACACCTATTATGGACACCCACTAAACTAAAGAACTAGACACCTATTATGGACATTCACTAAACTAAAGAACTAGACACCTATTATGGACATTCACTAAACTAAAGAACTAGACACCTATTATGGACATTCACTAAACTAAAGAACTAGACACCTATTATGGACATTCACTAAACTAAAGAACTAGACACCTATTATGGACATTCACTAAACTAAAGAACTAGACACCTATTATGGACATTCACTAAACTAAAGAACTAGACACCTATTATGGACATTCACTAAACTAAAGAACTAGACACCTATTATGGACATTCACTAAACTAAAGAACTAGACACCTATTATGGACATTCACTAAACTAAAGAACTAGACACCTATTATGGACATTCACTAAACTAAAGAACTAGACACCTATTATGGACATTCACTAAACTAAAGAACTAGACACCTATTATGGACATTCACTAAACTAAAGAACTAGACACCTATTATGGACATTCACTAAACTAAAGAACTAGACACCTATTATGGACATTCACTAAACTAAAGAACTAGACACCTATTATGGACACCCACTAAACTAAAGAACTAGACACCTATTATGGACATTCACTAAACTAAAGAACTAGACACCTATTATGGACACCCACTAAACTAAAGAACTAGACACCTATTATGGACATTCACTAAACTAAAGAACTAGACACCTATTATGGACATTCACTAAACTAAAGAACTAGACACCTATTATGGACATTCACTAAACTAAAGAACTAGACACCTATTATGGACATTCACTAAACTAAAGAACTAGACACCTATTATGGACATTCACTAAACTAAAGAACTAGACACCTATTATGGACATTCACTAAACTAAAGAACTAGACACCTATTATGGACATTCACTAAACTAAAGAACTAGACTTCTATTATGGACATTCACTAAACTAAAGAACGTCACGCCTAGTACGTTTTTTTAAGCATATTACAAGTTGAGTACAATTAAGTAAGTATTGAATTTTTTTTTTTAGATTCAGATTTAAGGTACATAGATAAAATATTGATTTTGACATGCATGTTAATGAAAATCGAATTTGAAAACATAAATACAAAGCTTTACACATTTTAAAAAAATATGTCCATTAAGCTAAGTTCCCCTCCCCCCAGCCTTGTGATAAGCTTTCATTTAGTTCATAGTGACTGTTTATTTGTTTGGGGGGTCATCCATAAATGACGTCACACTCGTAGGGGGAGGGGGGTTCCGTAATTTTGTGACGATGTGTGATGAGGGGGAGGGGGGGGTCAGATGTTGCGACGTCACACTTTTGCATTTTAAAAAAGCAATGTTAGAAATTAGAAAACTAATTTTAGAAGTTATTTCGCGTTTTAGATAACTGTTTTAATAAATTGTAATAGTTTAGACAAGATTTTAGAAAAATATCGATGTTTTAAAAAAATTCAACTGCAATTTTGAGGGGAGTTGTAGGTTGAGGTGTGACGTCATTTAGGGGGGGGGGGGGCTGGCTTTTTGTGACGACGTGTGATGGAGGGGAGGGGGGAGGTAAAAATCGTCAAAAAGCGTGACGTCATTTATGGATGACCCCTTGTGATAAATCTTTTGACCCATTTACTTTACGGAAAAATCCGTCTCTGATGCGCTTAAAATTCTTACTAGAGGGTCTCACTGGTTAAAGTGGAACTTATGTGGAGGGGTGGGCAACATGGAACTTATGGGGTGGGGCAACATGGAACTTATGGGGTGGGGCAACATGGAACTTATGTGATGGGGCGACATGGAACTTATGTGGTGGGGCGACATGGAACTTTTGTGGTGGAGTGGGGCAACATGGAACTTATGTGGTGGGGCGACATGGAACTTATGTGGAGGGGCGACATGGAACTTATGTGGTGGGGCGACATGGAACTTATGTGGTGGGGCGACATGGAACTTATGTGGTGGGGCAACATGGAACTTATGTGGTGGGGCGACATGGAACTTATGTGGTGGGGCGACATGGAACTTATGGGGTAGGGTGGGGCGACACGGAACTTATGGGGTAGGGTGGGTGACATGGAACTTATGTGGTGGGGCGACATGGAACTTATGTGGTGGGGCGACATGGAACTTATGTGGAGGGGCGACATGGAACTTATGGGGTAGGGTGGGGCGACATGGAACTTATGGGGTAGGGTGGGGCGACACGGAACTTATGGGGTAGGGTGGGTGACATGGAACTTATGTGGTGGGGCGACATGGAACTTATGTGGTGGGGCGACATGGAACTTATGGGGTAGGGTGGGGCGACACGGAACTTATGGGGTAGGGTGGGTGACATGGAACTTATGTGGTGGGGGGGGGGGGGGGCACATGGAACTTATGAGGTGGGGCAACATGGAACTTATGTGGTGGGGCAACATGGAACTTATGTGGTGGGGCAACATGGAACTTATGTGGTGGGGCAACATGGAACTTATGTGGTGGGGCAACATGGAACTTATGTGGTGGGGCAACATGGAACTTATGTGATGGGGCGACATGGAACTTATGTGGTGGGGCGACATGGAACTTTTGTGGTGGAGTGGGGCAACATGGAACTTATGTGGTGGGGCGACATGGAACTTATGTGGAGGGGCGACATGGAACTTATGTGGTGGGGCGACATGGAACTTATGTGGTGGGGCAACATGGAACATGTGGTGGGGCGACATGGAACTTATGTGGTGGGGCGACATGGAACTTATGGGGTAGGGTGGGTGACATGGAACTTATGTGGTGGGGCGACATGGAACTTATGTGGTGGGGCAACATGGAACTTATGGGGTAGGGTGGGTGACATGGAACTTATGTGGTGGGGCGACATGGAACTTATGTGGTGGGGCTACATGGAACTTATGTGGTGGGGCGATATGGAACTTATGTGGTGGGGGGGGGGGGCACATGGAACTTATGAGGTGGGGCAACATGGAACTTATGTGGTGGGGCAACATGGAACTTATGTGGTGGGGCAACATGGAACTTATGTGGTGGGGCAACATGGAACTTATGTGGTGGGGCAACATGGAACTTATGTGGTGGGGCAACATGGAACTTATGTGGTGGGGCGACATGGAACTTATGTGGTGGGGCAACATGGAACTTATGGGATGGGGCGACATGGAACTTATGTGGTGGGGCGACATGGAACTTATGTGGTGGGGCAACATGGAACTTATGGGATGGGGCGACATGGAACTTATGTGGTGGGGCAACATGGAACTTACTTAATGGGGGTAATACAGCCGTGTTCCACAAACTGCATCATCATGTCCAGGGTGGTCTCAGGTTGGTCACGTGGGGTCTGGTGCCCCGCCCCCTTGACCACCACCCGGCAGAAGCGGTCGGTCTGTGAGTAGAATCCCCGGACACGGCCGTCCTCCGACACCCACGCAGTCCGTCGCGTCTGATTGTAGCTCTTCTGTCCGGTCCAAGGTGTCGTCTGCACGGCCATGTCCACCGTCACGGAGCTGACGATGACGTCATAGTCCCCGGAAAAGAGCAGAACCTTGTAGCTGTTCATCAGCACCGCCATTTCCGGCTTGACGCTGACGAAAAACTCCTGGCCGAATTTTTCGAAAAGCTCCAAGTTAAAACTTACGAATGTTCGGTTCCCAACATGCACCGCTTTACTCGTAGTTCCGGAGCTCATGATGATCTTTACGTCATCTATCCTCACCTGCTCGTCAGTGACGTAATTATCCAATGTAAATAGTCCAACATACGGCAGCACCAGCAGCTGAATGTCTATCATGTTCAGCTTTTTTTTACTATTCTTCTGAAAATTTTCCAACTCCTGATTCGCCACTCTTTGGTATTTTCTCTTCTGCGCATGACTGATGACCCCCATACTGTAAAGATATTCAAAATACGCCACATTCTGAACCGGCGGGTCATAAAACGCTCCGCCTATGTAAATCCCAGTTAAAGGAATATCCGTCTTTTTATTCTGGATTTGTTGGTGTATGTAGTGAGCGAAGTGGGGGATATACTTCCCAGCATACGACTGCCCGCCAATGTAAAGCTCTCTGTGTTTGTACTCAGGAAACATGACGTAAAATTGCTCCAAGAAGGAGTACAGGTCCAGTGTGATCCCTTCATGTGTCGCTCTGACCCCTGCCGCGCCGGATTCCGTGTAGCTGTACCCAGCGCCAACAGGACTGTCGACGTACAGCATAGAAAACGGGTCAGCCCACGAATGCCGGCGTTTTTTTAAATACAGGTAATCCATATCGTCAATGAAAATTTCCAGCGGGCCGTTTTCCCAAAGCAAACCGACCATCGAGGAGATCATGGGTCCACCGTTCAGCCAGACGAGCAGAGGGGCGTGGCTGTTGTTTGCAGACGGGAAAAACCAGAAAAATAAATGGTTGCCCAGGGTTTGGTTGGCGGTGATGTACCCGGCGTAGCTCTCGTTTAGCTCCGCGAGAGGGAAGTCACGGGGGTCAACGGAGCTTAACTTCCGGGCCTGCTCGATGGAGCCGTTGTTCAGATATGGCGTTAGAAGAAGTGGCTCCTCTTCACCCACACACAGCGTCGTCACAAAGTGAAGGCAACTCAGCGTGAGTAAATAGCCTAACATCTTGTTTGATTCAATGGCTCTGGAAATGTGTCAAATTCGTTAATAGCAAATTAGTGGAATTTTGGAGGAAAGGTGGAAATATGTGTAACTGAAAACATAACTGTATAGGTATATATATATATATATATATATATATATATATATATATATATATATATATATATATATATATAGTTGATCATATATAGATCAGAATAGGAGGTCTGACTATCGTGATCAATAAATCAAAAAGTAAGGTTTACAATAAAACTATTTTTATATAATTTCTCAGAAGAGTGATGAACATTGTTATTTTCTTTAAAGATGTGGTGTAAATTGTGGTTACTTTAGGGAAAGGACGCGATGGGGGGATTTTGTGACGTCCATATATGCAAATGCAGGAATATAGGTATATATTTATATATATATATATATATATATATATATATATATATATATATATATATATATATATATATATATATATATATATATATATATATATATATATATATATATCCAGTATGTCTCATATGTGCAACTAATTGTTTAACACAAATGAAAACTAAGGTTGTGTTAGCACAAGTTAACTTATCTTCGAATTAATAGAAAACAAAATTCAATTGATTTACCTTTCCCTCTTGACGTACGGACAGCCTTGTTAATTCTATTACAGCTAGCCAACATCTCAGGGTGAACCAAATAAAAAGCGAGAAAGAAACACCAGCATCCGTGATTTATCGACCTCTCATCTTTCGCACGTGAAATGACAACATCCGCCGAGCATCCTAAGCAAATAACGACAACTCTGGCTGGGCCAGGCGTTTAGACTGGAACAATCTGACACGATCAGCGCACTCGTCACTCCATGTTTTCATAAGACGTCATGACATTTACAACGATCCTCAAACAAGCGTACGATGGGGACGAAGAAGTTGCTACAGGTTACACTGATAGAAATCAACATAGCACGAGAAGCGTTTCTTTCAGAAATCTATTCGAATTACCTCTACCGAAATAGACCCCCCCCCCTAGGATATTTGGGATTGCATATATATATATATATATATATATATATATATATATATATATATATATATATATATATATATATATATATATATATATATATATATATATATATATATATATCATCATCATTCAAAGGCTATTTGCTGCCGGAAACGTTCATCGAAAAACTTTTTAAAATAAAATAATACTGAAATGTGTGGTCCGCTTTAAATTTAGTGGTACTTTGAGTTGAAGATGTTCATCTGTTTGTTTGTTGGTTTTTTTTTTTTTTTTACTTTGGCATTTGAAGTGTTCATGTAGTCCAGCCGCCTTGTCCGGTACCCGTTAGATCTGAGTGAACTCAAGCAGTAACCTCGGTACCGCTCAACACCGCTGTCCTATGATAAGATTGCAATGTTAATGGAAACATCAAACAACCCGGGTTAAGACCAAGTTAGTTGCCAATAAATGACGTCAAATCCTGAGGGGAGGGTCAGATCGCACTATAGTGACAATGTGTGTCTAGGGGACGTTAAGAATCAAATGATGGATAAACGTGATAATTTTAGTTAGAACAACGTTGGGGTGGGGTAAGTTGAATTGTGTGAGGTCATATGGAGAGAAGTGAACCTGTCATTCAATGACTACTTGTGACAATGTAGTGGGGTCGTGTTAAAAACAAAATCGACTTTAAACACGTCACGTCATTTGTGGACGACCCTTAAGTATCCATTTACTTGCGCGCGAAATTTCCAAATTATTGTTTTATTGTCTGCACAGTGCGCAGAATAAAGCTCCTGGATGTCTATATTTCCTGTCCTAGTTTCTACCACGACCACTACAACGTTGTAGTAAACCTCCAGCACGTCTAACGCTTTATTTCGGGGTACCCTGGCGAAAAATTTGAGATTCCCAGTCTCTTATCGCTGGCCAGTTTCTCGTTTGTTTTCTTTGATGATTACTAAAGTAAATGAATATAAAAGGTTGTAGTTAAAGGAAGGAAGGTTTTAATGTGGCACATTTATTACTGGTGAAGTTTTTATTGAGAATCTTGTTATTTAGAGGTCTTTCCCGTTGTTGGTGAGAGGCATGTATGTATGTATATATATATATATATATATATATATATATATATATATATATATATATATATATATATATATATATATATATATATATATATATATATATATATATATATATATATATATATATATATATATATATATATATATATGTGTATATATTTTGTGTCCTCCACAACATGAGGCCGACACAGAAAGCTCCTTCCGCTTTTGTCGGTATTCAGAGGCATATTGACGGGGTGAGCGGTAGAGTATATTTGTCCCCGGGTGCCGAACCTAGGTGCGCCAAAATGGGTTGGAAAAAAATAAAAGCTCATTTTAGCAGCAGTTTTTAATTGCAAATATAAAAAATATAAGGGGGGGCGCCAAATTGAAAGTTTGTCCCCGCGCGCGGGGAGGGGTCTCTACACCTCTGTCGGTATCATGCAATTTTCCTGGCAGTCCCCCATGACAGTCCTGCCTCTGCCCCCCAAGTCTCCCTAGGCCTACACTGTTTACTTTTTAACTGAGACGTCCAGTTTAGCGCCATTCCTGCGATATCATCTGGATTCATTCTTAGGGAAGTGTCCGTTCCAGCGCCATCTTTCGGAAACGTCTTCCATTTCCATCTCTGCTAGTAGTCTATCATCAGAGACGGTGTTAGGCCATATGATACCATTTATCCTTCCTTTATATGATACCATTTATCCTTCCTTTATATGATACCATTTATCTTTCGCCAGCACCTAGTTTGGAATGAGTCCAGTGATCTGCTTGTGGCGATTGCTAATCCCCAGTATTCGCTGCCATAAAGTTATTTTTGAGGAGATTCTCTTCGACCGCCATGTTTTTTGCATGGCTGCAAAGGCTTGTTTGGCTTTAGAGTAACCTTCATAATTGACGATGCTGCCTATCTATAATGTAATCTTTTACTTTCTTTATTTCTGTGTTGTATATTTTTATAAGTTTTTGGCTGGTTGTATTTTGCTTCATAACTTTGGTTTAGCTAATGTTTAAATGAGTCCAACTCCATTTGCAATGGTCGGCCCAAGGCCCCGCGCAGATGGTTGACCCAAGGCCCCGCGCAGATGGTTGACCCAAGGCCCCGCGCAGATGGTTGACCCAAGGCCCCGCGCAGATGGTTGACCCAAGGCCCCGCGCAGATGGTTGACCCAAGGCCCCGCGCAGATGGTCGGCCCAAGGCCCCGCGCAGATGGTTGACCCAAGGCCCCGCGCAGATGGTTGACCCAAGGCCCCGCGCAGATGGTTGACCCAAGGCCCCGCGCAGATGGTTGACCCAAGGCCCCGCGCAGATGGTTGACCCAAGGCCCCGCGCAGATGGTTGACCCAAGGCCCCGCGCAGATGGTTGGCCCAAGGCCCCGCGCAGATGGTTGACCCAAGGCCCCGCGCAGATGGTTGACCCAAGGCCCCGCGCAGATGGTTGACCCAAGGCCCCGCGCAGATGGTTGGCCCAAGGCCCCGCGCAGATGGTTGACCCAAGGCCCCGCGCAGATGGTTGACCCAAGGCCCCGCGCAGATGGTTGGCCCAAGGCCCCGCGCAGATGGTTGGCCCAAGGCCCCGCGCAGATGGTTGACCCAAGGCCCCGCGCAGATGGTTGACCCAAGGCCCCGCGCAGATGGTTGACCCAAGGCCCCGCGCAGATGGTTGACCCAAGGCCCCGCGCAGATGGTTGACCCAAGGCCCCGCGCAGATGGTTGGCCCAAGGCCCCGCGCAGATGGTTGACCCAAGGCCCCGCGCAGATGGTTGACCCAAGGCCCCGCGCAGATGGTTGGCCCAAGGCCCCGCGCAGATGGTTGGCCCAAGGCCCCGCGCAGATGGTTGACCCAAGGCCCCGCGCAGATGGTTGGCCCAAGGCCCCGCGCAGATGGTCGGCCCAAGGCCCCGCGCAGATGGTTGGCCCAAGGCCCCGCGCAGATGGTTGGCCCAAGGCCCCGCGCAGATGGTTGACCCAAGGCCCCGCGCAGATGGTCGGCCCAAGGCCCCGCGCAGATGGTTGACCCAAGGCCCCGCGCAGATGGTCGGCCCAAGGCCCCGCGCAGATGGTCGGCCCAAGGCCCCGCGCAGATGGTCGGCCCCAGGTCCCTACCAGTACGGGTAGTCGTTGCCTTAACGCCACCTCTGACTGTTCTGATCTAATCGAAGAAATAAAAGTCATTTGCTTGACTAGGCACAAAAAGGAAAAAAGTTTAAAAAGCCACTTAAGTGTAAGTATACAGTGTTTATAAGTTGAGGAAAATTAGGTGTATTACTTTAATAAACTTGGTTTGTTACTTTAATAAACGTAACTTGTTACTTTAATAAACATGGTTTGTTATTTTAAACCTAAAAAAATTCGCACAAATGCTTCGACTAAATAAGCACGCGCTTAGTCTACTTCAAAAATTAATTTTAACTAAAATGTGAACATGTACTTGGGTATTTTTCTTAGAAGATTTACTAGATGGCTTTATTTTTTTTCTAGTAGGTTGACAGAACTACACCCTACACAATACATAATGCTCACGTTCATGCAATGCTATGGTAAACATGCAATCGTTCTAGTGAAAACTCGGTGAACTAGATACACAAATATATTTTTTTACTGCCAGCTCTTATTTACCGAATTTATTGTCTGGCAGAATATACTGTGTGTTAGAGCTTATTTATTTGATCTCTGGCTTTTGTTCGTCTTTTTCTTTAGTAAAACAACAAGCCCAACTTCGTATATAAACTGGACTGTGATCTCCAGATCAGCGGGTGCCCCATATAGCTTTTCCTTGAGTGGAGTGTGTGCACATTTTAGGCAACAACACAAACAATTGTTAACACACCGCCCAAACTAGTGAAATGTTATTTCATTGACCAGCTCCTTTCAGGTTCATATTATACATAATTTCTTTCCCAAACACGACACATTTAGTGTTACAAAAAAAAGTATTTTAAAGTGATCGACGAAATCACACAATTTTTAGAGAAAAGAATCACTGAAGTATTTGTAGATCTATTTTTAAAATATGTAAACCTGCTAAGTGGTTCTTCCAGATTATTTTCTCCGGGGGGGGGGGGGGGGAGGGGGGGCACGAAATTTTAGGGTGGCGGACTAAAATTTCCGGGGGGGGGGGGCGGGGGGCGGACACGATTTAAAGTATATATTTTCTATATCAATTCCATTTGGTTACGGGGGGGGGGGGGCTGTCGACTCTCTGGGGGGGTGGGGGGCGCAGAGCCGCCCCTTCCCCCCCCCCCCCCCCCTTTGATGAGATGCCTGGAAGAAACACTGATCCTGCTGTGTTCAGCTGTTTATCTAACCAGTTTAAACGTAAAAAAAATAGAGCGAAAGTAAGAAAAATACAATTCAAGACAACATTATCAACCACTGTTGTATATCATCACCCCACCCCATTTGTAATGAAACCACAAACCCCCACCCCACCCCATTTGTAATGAAACAATAAACCACCACCCCCACCCCATTTGTAATGAAACAATAAACCACCACCCCACCCCATTTGTAATGAAACAATAAACCACCACCCCCACCCCATTTGTAATGAAACAACAAACCACCACCCCCACCCCATTCAACTTAGTTTAACGACAACTCACGGCCACGCCTCTTCGTGTCAAATAGGAGCTCTTTACACGATCACTTTATTATAAGTGTGTGTTGCATGTGTGACATGACACTTTAGATCGTAACACTTAACGTAAAATTTAAATTGTGTATCACTTTATTATAAGTGTGTGTTGCATGTGTGACATGACACTTTAGATCGTAACACTTAACGTTAAATTTAAATTGTGTATCACTTTATTAGAAGTGTGTGTTGCATGTGTGACATGACACTTTAGATCGTAACACTTAACGTTAAATTTAAATTGTGTATCACTTTATTATAAGTGTGTGTTGCATGTGTGACATGACACTTTAGATCGTAACACTTAACGTTAAATTTAAATTGTGTATCACTTTATTAGAAGTGTGTGTTGCATGTGTGACATGACACTTTAGATCGTAACACTTAACGTTAAATTTAAATTGTGTATCACTTTATTATAAGTGTGTGTTGCATGTGTGACATGAGACTGTAGATCGTAAAACTGAACGTTAAATTTAAATTGTGTATCACTTTATTATAAGTGTGTGTTGCATGTGTGACATGAGACTGTAGATCGTAAAACTGAACGTTAAATTTAAATTGTGTATCACTTTATTATAAGTGTGTGTTGCATGTATGACATGACACTTTAGATCGTAACACTTAACGTTAAATTTAAATTGTGTATCACTTTATTATAAGTGTGTGTTGCATGTGTGACATGACACTTTAGATCGTAAAACTTAACGTTAAATTTAAATTGTGTATCACTTTATTATAAGTGTGTGTTGCATGTGTAACATGACACTTTAGATCGTAACACTTAACGTTAAATTTAAATTGTGTATCACTTTATTATAAGTGTGTGTTGCATGTATGACATGACACTTTAGATCGTAACACTTGACGTTAAATTTAAATTGTGTATCACTTTATTATAAGTGTGTGTTGCATGTATGACATGACACTTTAGATCGTAACACTTGACGTTAAATTTAAATTGTGTATCACTTTATTATAAGTGTGTGTTGCATGTGTGACATGACACTTTAGATCGTAACACTTAACGTTAAATTTAAATTGTGTATCACTTTATTAGAAGTGTGTGTTGCATGTGTGACATGACACTGTAGATCGTAACACTTAACGTTAAATTTAAATTGTGTATCACTTTATTAGAAGTGTGTGTTGCATGTGTGACATGACACTGTAGATCGTAACACTTAACGTTAAATTTAAATTGTGTATCACTTTATTAGAAGTGTGTGTTGCATGTGTGACATGACACTGTAGATCGTAAAACTGAACGTTAAATTTAAATTGTAGGTCCATACTTCCGTTGGGGGGGGGGGGGGTGAAAGTTAAGATTTTGCTTCCGATAGTTTGATTCATTTATTTCATGCACACGTCAGTTGGCGAAGAAGAAAAATCAGTGCATTTAGATCACAAACATTGCAAAATGCTAAGAGACATGCGGGCTACTCAGTTAATTGCCTCACAGCGCTGGGTTAGAAACTGTGTTCCCACGAAATATCAACAGGAAGAGGCGAGGTGTGTGTGAAGTTAGCGAAGAGCAGGTTTTAAAACACGACACTTAACGCACTCATGTCTGATCGCATTTACTCACACGCTCCGTTATCTAAATCTAGCGCAGCAGGTAACGGCATGCACCAAAAAATAAAAAATAAAACACTCCAGTTGAGTTTTTCAAAAGCTTTAATCGGCAAACTTTACAAGATTTATCTCCCTTATTTGTATTACTTCTTTAAAAAATTTCAGCTTCCCAGTTATTAGGAAAACTTACTGTTCATACATGTATATTCATGACAAACCGACAAGATGCTATTATAATCTCAATTATTGGTGATAATTATTGGTGACAAAAATCGACTAGTTATCAATCATGTATAAATAAAAGTCTAAAAAATGTTTGGAATGTTCTTCTATGAATGCTTTGGAATGAACATAAAATAAAATAAAATTATGTTGACTTATTGTTCTATGAGATTCTATATGCAAATTGAAATACAAAACAAAAACATATATTAATAAAAGCATGGGAATGTATAGCCCTACACAACTTTATCATAAGAATCATGAAGCCTTACACAAACATGAGCATAGGAAAAATCTGCAAACTATAAAAAAAAAACATGATTTCAGAAAGTAGCAATGAAACAAATAGCAAAACTTACATCACAATATATTTAAGAGATGAGTAGATTTTCGTTGTTTTAAAAAAATTATTAGCAGTAAGCGTTTAATATTTTTTTTTATAAAAAAGAGTAAATTAAAAAATTATTAGCAGTAAGCGTTTAATTTTTTTTTTTTTTTAAAAGAGTAAACATGCATAGTCAGGATTGAGTAGATAAAACAGTACCAACAAATGTTTGGACATAAAGGTTGCATGGTTATGATCTGAAGAGCAGAAAATAGTTTTGGGAATCTGAAACTATTTCTCAAGTGTGTTGTCTGGACAAGTCTATATGTGTCCAGACAAGTCTATTTGTGTCTAAACAAGTCTATTTGTGTCTAGACAAGTCTATCTGTTCAGTGTTTGCTGTCCAGGATCAAGCCTATAGAACAAACAGGGCACCATCAGATGTCTAGTGCCTGGCTCAAATTTCAATGTCAGGGAAGTGAAGACAGCTTGACAAGACACTAGCCACCTATTCCCTAAATAGTCTGTGGCTATTGATGGACATGGGATGGCATGGTCAAGGTGAAAAGCACATGATGATTACTAACTCAAAGTTTGCTTGCTGGGTTCTGTTCAACAGATCACCCCAAACTCTGATGGTTCAATAACTCCAGTAAGAGAACTTAAACAGCTAGGGTTAGTCTGACTGCACAAACCTTCCATATGTTGTAGTAAAAAAATAGACACTCTACTTCATCTGTCTAGTAGACCATCAGTTCAGAGCTTTTAACCCCAATGATTTTGATATTAAGAGTAGGTCAGGGAGGAAAGTAATGAAGTACATTTATACAGTTGAGCATAATTATTTCTTTAGCACCCAAGTCTACTAAAGGGCATGACAAATCTACTTTCAATGAACACACAACCTAATATGAGACAGTTAACTCATTCACTCAGATTTTGTATGTTTCCAAACAATAACAGACTAACACAAAGTCTTGCTCACTGAAAACATTGTACTTAAAATTTGTAGAAAAATATAAAATTCTAGAAATGCAATTAGGTTATAAAAGCATGAGCGAAAAAATGAATAGTAAATTAAAGAAGACTATGAGCATTCACCAAAGGTCATGAGCATCCACCAAAGGTCATGGGCATCCACCAAAGGTCAGGAGCATTTTCCAAAAATCAACAACTGTTCTTAGTATACAAGCTTTTTCTCCTTATGTTGACGAACTGCCTCAAGCACCTCGCTAATAAAAGTTAACGGCTCAGCTGTCTTGATGAAGGGGTGGGCTAAAAGTTTGGATGCACTGGCTCTTTTGTCAACATTTGGCTCCAAGCATTTGTTCAGGAAATCTTTGAGCTCAGAAGACAGATTTTGTTCATTTGGAATATCAGGCTTGCCCTGTTCATGGAATTTAAAAAAAAAACGTCTTATTTTTTTTTTAGAACAGACATTAAATCCTTATTCAAAAATTAGTAAGAGGAGTAACTCTTTACTGAAGTTTAAGAACAGTGAAATAAATATTTTAATAATTTTATAATCAGATAAAACAGCTTCACTATTTGTTAGTTAAATAAAATACTTGGACAGTTTAAAGAATAGTAATACCTTTTTACGCTATTTATTATTTAGCTTTAAGTCACCAACATTTCAAAAGCAAATAATTGTAAACTTTCAAAAATGTTACATTACTCAATTACTTAAGATTATTGTCTTGAACATCTACAAAAGTCATATTAATGAACAGAAACGTAAACAAACCTTAAAAAAAAAAAAAAAAAAAAAAAGAAAAAAAGAAAAAAATAACAAACCTTCTGGGCAATGAGGAAAAATGCTCTAAACTGTGGTACATCCATATAAGGGGGTTGTCCATCTATCATTTCTATCACCATGATACCAAGACTCCAAACATCAACCTTAACACTGTAACTTTTACTGTAAACATTTTTAAAAATCAGTGAATCATAAAAAAAAAATATAAAGCAATACTTCATGATACAGTCACCCCTACAGCCATTTAAATTTATAGTTATGAATCTTACAGTTTATGTATTAGTTACCTTGATTTTTTAATTAAACTATTATTTAAATTTACTCTGTAATTAATAATTGGAAATGTATTTATATTTCATGATTTTTTAAAAATGATGTACCTTATTTTATCACCAGCACAAACAACATTAAACTATAGGTTCTTTTACTATTCATAGTGTAATTGAATATATATATTTTTTTATTTAATGAATATACATAACCTGACATTTAAAAAAAAAACCATCCTAATAATTTATTTGCATTATCTCCCCTTATGATGTGCTCTACTTACTCCCCTTACCATGCTGCAACTTCAGGAGCCATCCAGTATGTGGTGCCACATCTGGTTATCCTTTCTCTCCTCTCTATACTCAGCTGAGCACAGAATCCAAAGTCAGTGAGCTTGACCGACCCCGCCCTGCCGAGGAGGACGTTGTCGCTCTTGATGTCTCGGTGGATGATGTTGTTCTTGTGGAGGTACTCCAGACCCTTCAGACACTCTCCGCTAATTGCCGCCATCTGCGATTCTTTCAGAATAACTGTGTTCACCACAGCAGTCAGATCTCCGCCATCCAAAAGCTAAAACAGAAAATGTTGATATGCAATGTTTTATATTAACAGAAAACTTTCAACCACATATCTAAAAAAAAATTTTTGTTCAAAAAAAAAAAGAATAATCATTTAAAAAACTTATGAAACAATACAATAAATCATAAGTAAACCTCTTGTTTTTTTTTTATGGAACCTTATTTATAAAATTCTTACCTCCATGACTAAGGAGAGTTCGTTTCCCTGAATGAAACAATCTAAAAAGTTGACTAAATTTTCATGCTTGCAACTCTGCATGATCTTGATCTCTGTGATGAGCATGTCTTTCTTGGGCTGGTGGGTCAGATCCATGATCTTGATGGCCACCACCTGATTGGTTGTCCTACACCTGGCTTTGTGCACTCGTCCTGATGCTCTATTTAAACATGTGTTTATTTAAGGTGTGATTAATTTTTTTTTGTCTTATTATTTTACAATAAAATAGAAGTCTAAATTTATTTTCAACTAACAACTTTAAGACTAACATGATGAAATGTATATTTCTAAGCATAAATAAGAATGAATTTTTAAAATTGTTTTATTGATTCATAAATTATTACTTCATTTTTAGTACAATAAGAGAAGAATATTTATTCTAAAACGGAACTAACCCTTTTCCAAGTTCTTGTTGAATTTCATATTTATCTACAACACTGCCAGTATTTGCTACCTTTCCTGTGAAATAAAATAGGTGAAAACTTAACTGTTACAAAAGTCAAATCTAAAGGGAACAAATTTGAGAATTAAACAACAGACTTAAGTGTTTATATATTATATCATCAAAATAGTCAAGAAAATAAATGGTGCTGTTAGGTATACGACTATGATTGTAATACTCATTTAAAGGTTAAAATTTACTTATTATTGTTTATATATATATATATATATATATATATATATATATATATATATATATATATATATATATATATATATATATATATATATATATATATATGCATATATGTGTATTTCTATTGACACAAAAATAAAGTAGTTGAGGTAGCCCTTATAATTTTACAAAGGCGATAGTTGATTAAACAAAATCAAACAAACTAACGAATTTTAGAATTGAATTCCCCATCACCCATGCCAACTCTCAACGGTCTGAATCTAAAATGGCCATCTGATTCATCTGTGCTTTCCTGAAAACACAATACAAAATAGTTGTGTTTTTAATTCAATGTAGTGTTACTTTAAATAAGTTGATATTCATATTACTAGTAAAATACATATATATAGACCTATATCTATCTATATCTATTTATCTACATATATATATATATATATATATATATATATATATATATATATATATATATATATATATAATCATTTAAAAATTGTTAACTATTCACACTACACTTACACACTCTATACTATCAACACTGTCCTCAGCCTCCAAGTTATTATCTCTCCCTTCATCTAATGCAGGGTGCGATGCCTCAATGATCAAATATTTTGGCTTCACCAACTTCAGGTATGCACGCATGGAGTTGAGCACCATTTCAGGATTATCTTGTATTTCTTCATCTCTAAATGCAAAAAAAATAAATCTTTATAACTGTTTCACTTTTGTATAAATTATTCTAAAAATAATAGTATAAATTATACTCTATGTAAAATATTAACGAGTAGCAAAGTAGCGCAGTCCTTTGATTCCATTTTTAAAAGATTAAACATCACTATTTTCTTTATATAATAAAAAAAATTTACTATTTTTATCACAATAACCGAAAGTTTGTAATAATTAAAAAAAAGAAATGACTTGCAAGATGCACATAAATTGAAAGCTTACGTTATTTTGGAATTCTTCAGAATTTGTCCCCACACAGTTGGCAGACCAATAAATTCTTTTTTCTCCTTATTAAATGTGACTTTGCTGAGCTCAAAGTTTGCTTGATCTTTCAACAACATTAAACTGTCATCTTCAGCCGGTCTTTCTAAAGTATTCTGTTGTTTGGCCTTTCTGAATGAAAGCTCTGTACTCATTTTTAATGGCTCTTTTTACCCTGAAAAAAATTTTTATTTCAGTCCCAAGCCACTAGAAAATGATAATCATATTCTATAAGGTAAATTAGATATATAATTTAATTTTACACATATTTTTCTACTGGATTTTAAGTTGCCAATGGACACCAGCGAGTTGACGAGATTCCATCCGTAATATTGTTGTCATGGAATAAAAATGTTCTTTTTTAGATTTAGGACCATAAAACTAGTAAAAGATAAAATTTTATTAAAAACTTAAGCCTAAAATTAATTCAGAAATGTAATATTTTTAGAATCAATGCTATACAAGTTGCAGATCCAGAGAACTTGAAAATAATTTGTTGAGTTTAAGGCTACATTTCTATTTATTTTCATCAAGCCTAAGTTATAACCCGATGTTTCACTTTCGTAAGACAAACATTGATTGGCTGTAAAGGAACTCCGTGATCGATTTCTGACAGCCCCACTTTATAGTTATTTTGTTTACAAAACTTTGCAGATCAAATTTTTAAATAACTATGCAAATTTAAACACCATGACCTATTGTTTCTATTTTTAGCTTACAATGTGTACAATAAAACTTATGTCGGCCATTGTTTATGTCGCCATTACACGTGAAAACCAAATTGTTTTTTCTTTTTTTTTAATTTTTATTTAGTTACCGAAAATATTAAAAACATCAAATACATCCAATCTTTAGTTAAGTCCGAAAAAAACCAGACAGACAGGATTTTATAACCATATTAATTGTAACTACGCCGTGCAAGATTTTAAAATGAATTTATACACCTCTCAAATACCTTTGAGACTTTTCTCGCTGGTGTCCATTGACTACATTTTTAAATTAAAATAAGTTTTGCAAATAGTTTCCTTGGGATAAAACTAAACAGCTCTTATAAATATAATAATGTAATTATACAATAACACATTATACAAAGTAGTTGTTAATAATTCCAAAAATGTCTTACTACAGACTACAGACATTGATTATTATTAATTTGATCTTTTGCAACAAAACAAAAAACATTTCAGACTGATAACTTTCTTCCTGTTTAACTTAACAAGTAATAATTCCTCAAATTAAAAGTTACAGATTCATACAGTTACACTGTTACAGTTATCTGTAATATTGAATTTTTATTTTTAAAATATATTATAGAAGTCTAACTTTTTTTTTACATATCATATTCAAAAGTGATTTTTTAAGAGTAAACAGATAGAAATAATTTAATCAAGGTGATATTATTTTTCCAATCCACGCTTTTAATGTAGAATCTATCAACTCGCTAGCGGCTAGTAGGCTAGATCTTAATCTAATGATTAAAAAATTAATTTAAAAAAAACTGTTAATTTTTCTAAATCAACAATTTTTATCTTTCATTAATTGAATGTAGATCTACATAGATCTATGTTAATGGCATCATCAAAAATGACGATCTATTGCTGTGTCCTAATTTTAGAATGCCCTACTATAAAACGCAAACATCGTATTAACGTATTTGGGTCATTATTGATTCAATATGTACTAGAATCTATGTACATTGACCTTGATGTAGAACTAGAGTTACTGGACTAGATATATCATAATGCATTATGTAAATCAATATAGATCTATCTAAAAAAATTATTATTGTATTGTATAAAATAAAGCATAGATCTATTATTTATTTGAGAAAATAATCACAATATAATAATATGAATCAGAGGCTATAACAAATTATTCTTTTAAGCTATTATAATAATAAAAATTATTACATTTCAGGATTTTGGCTTACCTTCTTAATCTTGTACTCAAACGAGAAAAACACTTCGTATTAAGAAAATAGATTCTTGATTAGACCTTGGAAGGAAATGATACTAAAACTGTTTGTTGTAGTCGATCTTTGTGACAGGTAATAACTATAAATAGCATAAAGGGGCGTCCAAAGGTATTTCTTTTCCAAAAAGGGACGCAACAAACATTATCCGTCTTGTTTTATATCAACAACAAAATAAGTATTGTACTAATAATCTAGTATCTATATTGGATTTATAGTTGTTTTGTTTGTTTTTATTACATAGTTTTGCGAAAGCGCATTAAAATGCTTATGTATTTATAAAATTTTATATGTAATGCTAATAGAACAAACAAAAAAAAGAACAAAATGATATAATTATGCAAATTATCGAAAAACGGAAATTGCTAAATCTATTTATAGAAATTGATAATACAAGTGTCACCACACCAATACGAAATGCTTAGTAAAATGAATAAAAAACCCACAAAAACACAAGAAAGTAGGAGAGATCAGGTAATCTGGTTAAACCAGAGTTTCTTCCAGTCATCTTTTCGGGGGGGGGGGGGCCTCCGCCACTCCCCCCCCCCCCGAACGAAATGAAATTTATATAGAAAATATATACTTTTAACAGTGCCCTCCCCCGAAAATTTCAAGTGCCCCCCCCCCCCCCCCGGAGAAAAAGTCTTAGTTTTAAATTAAAAAGTAATAGTAATAACATGTGTAAAAAAATTGTTTATTAAGAAATTCTTTAAAATATTTAAATCTCTTCCCTGAAGCAAAGGATAGAAATGATTACTTAAAATGGAAACTTCAACCAATGAAATAAAGCCTGACATTATGTATTAGGCTACAACACCACCCATTGGTTGGGTCCTCGTTAGCTGTCGTGTTAAGTGGGTCACTTGAAGAGGCTGCAAAATACAACTAGTGCCTTCCACTTCTAAGTCTCCTAGTCTTAAACATTGTGCACCACAGCACTTGTACAATACAAACATAAAAATGTCCAGTCAGAAAGAAAAAAAGTATCAAAAGACCAAACATTATACTAAATTATACAACACAAATAAAAAATAAAAATATAAGTCAGACAAGTCCATCAAAAGTTTTAAATATATTTATTTGAGAGTAAATAAAATATACAATATATATATAAATATTTTTGTACATTAATTCAATTTAATTACTTTTGTCTAATACACTTTGAAACAAGTTTTATTACCAAAAAAAGGTAACAAAAAATCTAAACTAAACAAATTATTTATGCTTACTTGCTATTGTGATCATAAATTTCAGTTGAAGCCAAACAAAAAGTTTTTTTTATAAAAACTAAGACATTTTAAATACCTGACTTCATGTTTTTAATAATTTTTTTTAAGACAGAATATATCACAGGACCTTTGTCCTTACCAATACTATAAGAACAGCAGCTGAAGAAGTTTTAAGGCACTGGACACAACATGCACACCAAGCTGTTTCTTATACGATGATTGCAATCTGTCAAACCATCAACCACTTTAGTGGCTAAACAGCGACTTTACAGTGAACAGCTAGTAATAGTGTAATAGCTAACCACTGTAATGACTGACCCCACAATGGCCAGCTAGTAACAGTGTAATAGCTGACCACTGTAATGACTGACCACTGCAATGACCAGCTAGTAACAGTGTAATAGCTGACCACTGTAATGACTGACCACTGCAATGACCAGCTAGTAACAGTGTAATAGCTGACCACTGTATTGACTGATCTCACAATGGCCAGCTAGTAACAGTGTAATAGCTGACCACTGTAATGACTGACCCCACAATGGCCAGCTAGTAACAGTGTAATAGCTGACCACTGTAATGACTGACCCCACAATGGCCAGCTAGTAACAGTGTAATAGCTGACCACTGTAATGACTGACCCCACAATGGCCAGCTAGTAACAGTGTAATAGCTGACCACTGTAATGACTGACCACTGCAATGACCAGCTAGTAACAGTGTAATAGCTGACCACTGTAATGACTGACCACTGCAATGACCAGCTAGTAACAGTGTAATAGCTGACCACTGTAATGACTGACCACTGCAATGACCAGCTAGTAACAGTGTAATAGCCGACCACTGTAATGACCTCACTATTTGCCAACCAAGAACTGCACAATCCCATGCATATGCCAAACATCAACCTGCACACCACTCATTAATTACCCTAGATTCCAATCAAAACCTGCTCACACAATAGTCAACTCTACTCAGCACACTCAAGAATCAGCTATCACCTACAGAGTGTCAAGAGCAATGTTCTCTTAACAGTAATCACACAGTGTAAACAAAGAAGCTGTTCCAAAAAAACAAAGCTTGGAATCATATTAAGCTGTACAGAATAATTCCATTTCAAACATGTAGGAAGTCTTAAAGGCACTGGGGAATGTAACATAAACATGTCAGTGAAACAAACGTACATGCATAAGCTGGTGCACAAATTACGTGATTCAGTATCCACTTTGTTCATAAATATGTAGGTGTATCGCAGTTAATATCTGTTCTAACACCATGCGCTTTTACAAAACTTTATCAGTTTAAAACTTTCGGAAACCATTCATACACATGCAAGAAAATAATTGAAATAAAACATTTTACCACATGAAACAACATATTTCATTGTTTCTTAACCACATGTCAAACTCAAGGTTGGGACATTTTGATTTTAAAGAGTAGCTGACATACAAAAACAAAAGAAAGATGAATGAAAACGTGCAAGTGATACTGGCTATTTGAAGTGAAGAAGCAAACATGAAGGCCCTACAAATAATATCTCAACGTACAGATCTTTGGCATGTATTGGGTTAAAGCAATACATCCTGTGAACATAAGCTAGAGAGAAATGCATTGAAATGATTCAGTCATTGCTGGCTTGTTTCTACAAGATTTTAAACTCTATAGATTGCGAACCATTAGCTGTTGATCCATTTTTCAAAACCAGTCTCTGTACAGCCAATCAATGATCACAAATAAGAAAATGAAGATTGAATATAAAAAAAAAGTGCATAAACAAAACAGCAATAATTGTTTAGATCTTATTAAGTCAATGTTTCTAAGACTTCCCCATTGCATTGCGGGCAGCTGCTATTAAAGGTCGTAAGGTTGAGAGAGCCATTGCTTTTTTCAACAAGGGGTGCTCTAGAAGTTGGGAGGCGTTTGCCCTTTGTTCCACTTCAACCTCTAGACACTTGTGTATAAAATCTTTGAGTTCTGCTGAAAGTTTGTGTTCGTCTTTGATTTCTGGTTTACCCTGAAAATAAGAGCAACATGGGATATGTGTAAATGAGATGTAGAGGGAAGCTGCCTCACCATTGTGTTCTTTCTCCAGTTTCTTAAAATACTGACCACAGAACTTTCAAGTTTTGGGGTTCTGAACAGTTATAGTGTTACAATAATAGGAGCTATGAGCAGTTCCATGACAAATGATATTAGGAGATCTGTGAGATTATTTGACCTTGAGATCATTTATCCTGAGATCATTTGTCCGTGAGATATTTTGTCTGAGATCATTTGTACTGTCACCCTATGAGCACACACTTTTTCACCATGATGTACTTGTTGGATTTATATAGAATAAAATGGTTTATGTAAAAAAAATGGATTTAGAAAAGAGTGACTGGTTAAGGAGAAGCAGTGTAAATCAGAGCAAGTACAGACAGGTGTGAATGTTGCTGTATAGTAGTGGGAGCCTGAGACATGAATCAGTACAGCAAGAACTACACATAATAGTTGTCAAGTTAACCAAACTTCATATAAATATCAGCTTATCTATCGACTGGGCTTTTATCTTTTAAGTACTGTAATATACATAATTGAAAAAAGGGATAGAATTGGCTGATACATACCTTTGTAGCGATGCGATAAATAGCTTTAAGTGGAGTCTCATTCAAATATGGAGGTTCTCCTTCCAACATCTCAATGATCATAATACCCAGACTCCAGATATCCACTTTGTTGCCATATTGTTTCCTATAAATAGGTTAAGCAAAAACTTCAAATGTGGCACAAATACCATCAAACAAATGTAAGTAAAGTTCATATCAGGGAATCACAAAAACTAACCAAGAAATGTAAAACAAATTCTTAAGTTGCAGAATTTAAGCAGACATCTAAACCTTATCCAAGATCTAAGAGTGAACAAAAGAAATGAATACCTGGAGACAACCTCAGGTGCCATCCAATAAGGTGTCCCCACCATTGTATCTCTCTTGCCCTTCTCAGCACTAAGCTGTGCACAAAATCCAAAATCTGTCAACTTGACGGCTCCAACCATGCCCAGTAGGACATTGTCACTCTTGATGTCTCTGTGAATTATGTTTCTGCGGTGGAGGAACTCCAGGGCTTTAAGACATTCTCTACACACAGCTGCTATCTGACCTTCCTTCATGATAGTTTCAGTAACTACATCTGTCAGGGCGCCACCATCCAAATACTGAAAACAAATGAATATATTTTGGTACTGTGAACTGACAAAGATCATACAAATATCAAAATGTGCTCAACTTTTTAGTAAGAAAAAACAAAAAGATCTAACATGACACAGAAAAAATTACTGTAAACACAAGTAGTAAATCAAAACATAACATGAAGACCAGATCAATACTGATTCACATGTATAGTGGGCTGCCCAAAACAGTTTGGTGTAGAGGGATGGCTCCAGCCCTTTGCTCCCCAGGGGCCACAAAGGAATAATAAAAAGTAAAACCTACCTCCATAACTACCCATAGTTCATTGTCAACATAGTAACAGTCAAGGAAGTTGACAATATTCTCATGTCTGTAGAGTTTCATGACTTCAATTTCTGTGATGATAAGCTCCTTTTTAGGCTGGTTGTTGAGGTCCATCATTTTTATAGCTACCACTTGATCTGAATCTTTACATCTGGCCATGCAGACCATACCAGAAGCTCTATATAGGACACACAATACATTAAGACCATTATATTTTAAATGCATTACATCAACCCTTATTAGTATAAACACAATACATTAAGTCCATTATATTTTTAAATGCATTACATCAACCCCTATTAGTATAAAAACAATACATTAAGTCCATTTTATTTTAAAATGCATTACATCACCTCCCCCTATAGGTATAAAAACAAAACATTAAATCCATTTTATTTTTAAATGCACCACATCATCCCCTATCATTATCAACACAATACTGTAATTATACAATAAATCCATTGTATTTTTAAATGCGATTCATCAGCACCTATCAGTATCAACACAGCAACACATTAAATTCCTTTTATTTGTAAATGCAGCACACTCACCCTGTCAGTTTCAACACAATATATTAAATCTTTTTTTAATGCACTACATCCACCCCCCCCCCCCCCCCCCCAGTCAGCATTGAAACAAAAACATTGACAACTTCTCTAATAGTTTCAATAATAATCACTACACTTACCCTGCACCCAACTTTTTCTGGATATCATATTTGTCTTGGGCATTACCTGGACTAGACATATTTCCTGTAAAGTAAACAATGAGTCAGTAGAGTATTGAAATGAATGGAGAAAGTTTGCATGCTTGAGTTAACTGATGGCTTAACAAGATCAACCCAATGTTGTGATATCATCTTTTAGCCTGAAGGGTTGCTGCAGCTTCCTTGTTAACAACTGTATGTCATGTTGTCTCTATGTACATTTACACTGATTTTTATCACAAGAATAGTTACTAGCTGTGTTTTCTATTAACATACAAGTAGAATATGTATTTGTAAAAAAATAATCTATAAGAAGAAATTGTTTTCTTTATTTGGATCTGACCAACAAAGATAATGTATAACTATGTTTTAGTAAGATCTTTTAAAAGAAAACAGCAGACATTTGAGTGGAAGAAGGTGGTGATGCTGGCCAAAGCCATCCATGGGCAATAGAGATACAGGACTGGATGTTTTTGTAAACTATGCAAGTGATTCACAAATTCCATCAAAACTTTAGGAAAGTTAAGCTCATTATTCATTACCCACAGACAGTATTTGTGTTGTATATTACAAACTATAGTAAATAGTTAAGTAATTAGAGGCAAAGTTTCTTCACTATTTCAAAACTAGTGACAATGTAGGTTATATTTTTAAACCAGAGTGATGATAAAAATACTAGTAGTAAAACTATTTACTTAAAATAATCCAAAAAAAAGGGGGGGAGGGAGGGTGGATGGATGGACTTACTAAGTGTATCATTAATTTCTTGATCTGACATTGTTTTTTTCTGTGATCTTGGCCGCCTCTGTAAGTGTGCCTCAGAGTCATCATTGTCTGTTCTCAGCTCAGCTACTTCATCTTGCAAATCATCAATAGCTTGTGAAATATCAGAATCCTTATCAGGTGCTGATGGTTTATTTACTTCCTGTTTTAATTTGAAATGTAATTATGAAAAACTACTTATCCACTCATTAAACATTGTGAGTATCACTGACTGTTAAAGCAACATATAATGGTAAATTAGCTAAAAAATAAAAACCAAATAAGGAAACAATGAAACTGATTGATCAAATGTAACCTGTACAATGTACATTTCTGATATGCAAAAAGTACAAAACATTTTTGTAGGTAGGAGGAATACTAGCTCCATTTAATAATTAAACATTCTGAATGCTCATTCATTATGTTTTTTGGCATGTCATGAAACAAAAATTTGCATAACACTATAAAACACTAGAACACTAGAAAAATGTGAAATAAAAATTCTAAGGAGAAGAAATAAGATTTTTGTGTAAAGGTTTGTAAAAAAAAAAAATGATTATAGAACATGAAGTTAATATAGCAGGAGTGATCTCCCCTAAACTTCCTAGAATACTAACGGGGATGGCAACTCAGGATAGAGATATGATTTTTAAACGATTTTTAAATACTTAAATTATTTAAAAAAAGAATAGAATCTTTTGGAAAAAAGAACTGCGCACCAAATGAATAGCAAACAATGTATGTATATTGGTGCGGAAAATTTGTACTTTATAAAGAAAACCTTGATTAATTATCAAAGAGTTAAATCAATCATCTAATTAAGTAACATTTTATGTCACAATATATTGTCTTCAAGTCTTGACCTATGTGAAAAGTTTAAAATAACTCGGTCCAGTAGAAAGGTATGAAATTTTGCTTGCAATTTCCACAACCAAGCAGGATGAAAGACAAAGGAATTAAGTTAAAAATAAATTCATATGCGTTAATTGAGAAATCATAAAGTATATAGTACTACTTTCAGTCACCAGGAATAACTCAAATAAAAACAGAAAACAGAGAATTAGATCTTTTACGAATATGTGAAATTTCTTCTAACAGGAACAGTATAACCGAAAGTATAATAAGTTCCACTTTTGGTTACCTGCAATAGCTGAAAAGTTAATCCAGAACTTAAAATTTGAAATAATACTTGTATATGAAATTTCATCAACCTTGCTGTAACGGTACTCAAGTTATCATGTTCACAGACAGACAGACAGAGACAAAATTGCTAAGTTTTTCTGACTCAGAGGTGTAAAACGTCGAGCTTTGTGAAAATTGATTGCAATACTTCCTCTACACTTCATATACAAGAAAGTAAAAACTAAGTGCATGTACATGATACACTTGCCCAAAATTTACAGCCAAAACTTAAAAGCTGGGGAAAACATTAGCAAAAAGTTACTCACAGAATGTTGTGTAGAGTTATTGATTTTGATACTATCAACAGAGTCATTAGTGTCTGGAAGGCTTTTGTTTTTGTTCGCATCCACAGGCAACTTCTCTGAATCTACAGATACTCTGTCTTCTTCCGCTGAATCTAAGATCTCGTCAGACTCCCGTATAGTTGTAGCAAGCACCATAAATTTAGCAGTAGAGGGACGACGTTTAATAGATTTTTGATATGTCTTTAGAGAGTTAACAACTGCCTCAGGATTTTCTCTTTGCTCTTTTTTTCTGTTGGATAAGTAAAAATCAATTAGGAAAGAAATGTGTAACTTTAACATTGATTCTAGTTCAATGATTCGTATTACAAACCTACTAAAAAATCACAGTGATTAATTAAAATAACTGGGATTACAACAGTCATTTATATTTGATAATGATTGACAAAAAGAGTAAAAAAAACTCATCCCATTTACTTTCAATATTTGGTATAAATGAATTCATAACTGAACAAGTTTACTTAAGAACTTACGATATATTAGAGTGACTAAGAAGTTGCTCCCATGATTCTGGAAGTCCAACAAATTCTCCCTTTTCTTTATCAAAACCCACATGATAATTTCTTTTTACATTAAAAGGCTCCCCTATAGACATAGCAGATTCTTCCTCTGCTGATTTTGTGGAGCTGGTAGAGGTTTTGGTTTTACGGAAAAATCCTTTGAGAGGCATGATGAACTGAAACAACAAAAAAATAATTAAATTTAAAAAAGCATTTCTTTAAGTATAGTATGTAAACAGAGCAAACACAAGCCAAAGACAAAAATATTTCATCATATAGGCCTACAGTCCAGAGATTCACATAAATATTAAGATATTATTAATAATTCTAACTACATTTATTTCTTCATAATGCACACTGCAAACCATGTGTACTTCCCTATCGTATCGCTGGTGTGATAATTAACCATTTTTAAAGTGAATAAATGAATTCAGCATTTTGTACGAATGGATATTAAAATGAGTTGTTTTTTCCAGAAAAAAAGCACCATGTTTATTCTTGAGAGCCCAATTTTAGTTTTGGAAATTCTGGATTTCTAATAATTCCTTAATTTCTTCCAACACAATTAACAATTACTTGACAAAATGTTATGTGGGCTCATTGACTATCATATGAATTCAGCCTGCTTTTCTATCTGGATTTGATTCTATAGCCTTGGTCCATCTGAGAACAAACTACAGGTAGCAGTTGTTTGAATGTGAGTTTTCTCTCCTAGATGGGTTGTTGTTCCCAGCTATCTAGTCTCATCTGACTGCTGAACTTTTCAGATTAGAAGCCAAGAGCTTTACTGACCCTTGGATATCTAATAAAAAGATTTTTTTTTTAGCATGTGCAGTTATGAATGCTTGATGTAAATTTTATTTAATGTATCTTAATAAAGTACTCAGTCTGAGTATCAGTAAATCTACAGCCTACATAAAAATAAAAACAGCTTGTCTTTGTCTATGGGGCTAGCTAGTGTAGATCTAAATAAATATTAAAAATTAGGCCTAATGAAAATAAAAAAGGCCTTTGTATTGTAATTAATTAGTAATTAGTATTAGATCTAGTAGGCATTAGGCCTAGCCTAGAGCCTATGTTAAGGTCAAAACTGAAACAGCTATTGGCTTGAGTATGATTTAGCTTTTCTTACTAAATCTAGAATCTACGCAATTTTCAATTTAAACATGACCACTGAATAATAGACATACATATTTAATCCATAAGCCACTAATTTTGAAGTTTTTAGTTCGTTTTAAACTAAATTACTTAATTTAATATTTATTGACACTCACTGCCATGGCCAACACATCTCTCCATGACAACTCTTCTAACCCTTGAAGGTAAAGAAAACCACAAATGCGATTAGACTTTTTAAGTGGCCATGTACCCAGAGTTCCCCACTAGTGATCATCAAATAGAGGTCACGTGGTTTTTAAAATATAAAAAATTTGGTTGTCATTCAAAAGTCGTGTCTTATTTTAAAAAGCGCATGCAATACTTGATTTATTTCTTCATATAATGATAAACCTAATAGTTCTACAACCTCCAATTCATTTTTGTGACCTCCGGGCTGATATTTTAGAAGTTCTATTAATTTTAATGAGACCGACTTTTAAATTTAGCCTTCATTCTCCAAAGCAAATTTTAAAACGCTTTTCTGGCATATTTAGCCTTGCCACTTATGGTTTGTTGTTATGACACGGAAATCCCGCCATTTTGCGCGTGGTAAACATTTTAAAATGTAATTAGTTGAAGGTCTCTGGAATTTGGCCGAAAAATCGCCGGAAATCAAACGTCCGGTCCGGGCGCCATATTGTTGTTAGCAACCGACCACGCCTCCAAGTTAGCGAGAAATACTAGTATGATTGAAATAATGAAAACAGGCTTATGGGTAAGGTCTAAACAATTATTTTTTTAAGCCTTGAACCTAGTCTACTAGATCTAAGTCTAGTGATTCTAGGCCTAGATCTAGGCTCAATTTTAAAATTAAACTTAAAATTTAAAAATCAAAATGAGTTTTGTCTTTCTCAATCTCAGTCTAAGACTGAGTCTTTCTCTTTTCAATTATTTGTCAGGCTTAGCCTTAGGGCTAAGTACTTTTATTTTACTCTATCAATTTTGAGTTAAATATAGATTCTATATAGTTATATAGATCTACTAGTCATGGTGAGTAAGTAATACTTAGTAGTTTAGTTAGAGTTTAGAGCTATTACCACTATCACTTGTCTATCAACAAATAAGAAATAACAAGAAGTATTCAATGCGGAAGTAAGCTGAGAAGTCGGGTAAAAAAAAAACTAGTTCCACTACTAAAAAAAGAAAATGTTTTATGGAATAAACAATAGACTTCAACAATGAAAACAAAATCTTGATAAATACCTAGTAGATCTAATTGTAGCGCTTACAATTTAGTTTTTTAATTACTTCTTGTTTATCTTGGAAAGCGGCATGCGAGTTCAGGAAATAAAATAATATGCCACTGTAGGCCTATGCATGATTTTAAAATACACTTAGAAATAGAAATTTTGCTTCCCATAATTCTAAGCGAATAGGAAGCTAACGAACATTAAAAACGTAATCTTTTGATAAAAAGAAAAGATATAAAATATCAACAAAAAAGTCATTAAAATTGAATTGAGTTTAAATTATAGAATAGTGCCTATACTATTACTTTTGGGAGATTACCAACCAGGACTTAGCAATGGTCCATATGCCAGTTATAGATAGATGATGTATGAAACCAGCCAGAGACAAACTTTTTAAAAAGAATTATCAAATATGGAAGTTTTAGGTTAGGGGAGGGTATCGTCCATAAATGACGTCACGCTACGACGGGGAAGGGGAGCTGGATTGAACTTTTGTGTTGATGTATGACTAGAGGGAGTGCGCGAGGTTGGTCTGAAAATGTGATGTCACATTTTTTGCCTCTTTAAAAGAATTTTGGAAACAAAATGTAATTAATTTAGCTTTAAAAAAAAAAACCATTACGTTTATGTCTCTTCCAGATTACAAGCCTCCTTTGATCCCCCCTCCACCCCCCCCCCCCTATTCCATACACATCCACTTGCTAGCTTCGCAGCAAGCAAAGAGAAATAGCTGCTGAAACAATGGGAGTCTTTCCATTAATCATCGTATGTTGGCTTCCAGATGCGGTTTCTACACACACCACAATGAGAGAATGAGAGCATAGGCTAACAGTAAAGCATTCTGGCGCATCCATGCATCAAAACCATTATGGATAGGCTAGCTGTTTTAGGGGGGGGGGGGGGTGACACCAAGGCAAAAATAGCAAAATATATAGAGAAAAATGATAATTCTACTTAATTAAGTGATTAATTCGAGTGTTAAATAGTCTTTTAAGAGGTCCAAATCGAAAGTTTGAGGGGGGGGGGGGGGGGTGCAAATCGAAAATTCAAAGTTTGTCCCGGGGAAAGGTCGATACGCCTCTGGGGGGTGACACCATTAAGTGCCGCACCTCGCTACGCCACTGCTCATGGGTACCTGACTCACGTTAGGGAAAGTAAAAGCGGCTGGACATAGTGCTGACCTCATTATCCCTTTACATGCCAAGGTAACTGAAACAGGTGAACTCTACTTCATCTGCCGCAGAGACTGTCGTTCTTTCATCGCCTCCTTTTATTAAAACATTGTCTGTCTGTCCGTCCGTCCGTCCGTCCGTCCGTCCGTCCGTCCGTCCGTCCGTCCGTCTGTCTGTCTGTCTGTCTGTCTGTCTGTATGTCTGTCTGTCTGTCTGTCTGTCTGTCTGTCTGTCTGTCTGTCTGTCTGTTTGTCTGTCTGTCTGGCTGTCTGGCTGTCTGTCCGTATGTCCGTCCATGTCTGTCTGTTTGTCTGTCTGTCTGTAAGTGGTTTTAGTTATACTGGTGGATCGTAATTATTTACTTTGCTTCACTACTGTTTTTAGTAGGTCAAGTAATTTATTTCCCTTTGTTTATCACTAAAAAAACGTGATTTTCATTGTAGTTACAAATAGGGGTCTACTTTAGCGAGAGATGCCTTTGTCGTGACACGAGGTAACCACGATACATCAAAGAAAATTTAAAATCTAAACTTTCTTTGATTAGAAACACAAATTAAACCAAATGGGGCGCCCCCTTCCCTATGTACATCAAACCTCCGAGAGAATGCAGAAAGGGTGACATCACACTTTTACATTTAAAAAAAAATCATATTTTACACTGATTTTTTGCCGTTATTCCGCATTTAAATAAGTAAATAAGTTAATAATTTTTTTTAAATGCGTGTGTGGTTCACCCTTTGAAAATAATGTTTACATTTGTAAATGCGTATCACTTACTTTGGTGCCCTATTACTAGGTCTAGTTTTTTTTAGCGCAATTTCCATTCTGGAGAATTGCGTTTATTAACGCGTCATTTCTGGATGGATGGATGGATGGATGAATGTATGGATGAATGTGTGTCCGGGCTTTAAGTCGTATCTCCTCCTCAACGAAGCAATATCGATGACTAGTTCCAAAAGCAATTATGTTAAGCAAGTTACAAGAATGAGCATAGGCCATAAAAATTCCGGGTTTTCTTTCATGTATTTCCCGGAAAAGCCAAAAAAACCTCGAAAAAAAGCAGTTTTTGGCCCATATCTCGTCAACCAGACCACTTAGCGACTTGAAACATGTACCAATCGATTCCTGCCATAATTTAGAGCAATATTGCCGAAGAAAGTTTTCAAAAATATCCTCTCGTTTGGTCACAAATTTTAAAATTACAAAAACACCTACAAACCGATTGTTCTTCTAGCTTGAACGCATCCCAGCATTATACGTCAGAGCTATTTTTAGATAACATAAGGAAATTGCGCATAAATGTCACTAGACTTTTTTAATTAACTTGTTTTCTATATTGTGTATTAATTAATTAGCGGATTGTAGGCCTAGGCTATTTTAACATAAAAAAACAACAACTCATAGCTAGGTTACATGTCCGCCTACTTACTTAAGCTAAACACAGCAGTTTATTTGAGTAGAAAGAGGACTAAGCCGGTAGTAGTTGTACCATATCTTAAGCACACAGGAATGTGAAATGTTTACCCCAGATTGTTTCTACTCGTTCTCTTCTTGTTTCCTTGTTGTGTCCCCTTCAGTGCATTGTTATCTCCCCTTATCTGAAGCCAAGTTTTTTGTAGGAGAAAACAGTAGCCTAATTATTGCGACCATAATAGACAAGGATTTTGTTGCTTTTCAAACCTCTTAGCAGCGATTTTTTACGACTGAAAAAAACACCTAATTCTTCTGAAGCTTATAATTATTTGATTTAATAACATTTTTGTAATAACTGTTATCGTTTAATGACACCTCTTTAGATTATATGGCCGCTATTGTCATACTTTGCAGGGTATTGAATTGTTTGTAAGGTGTCTTTATTCTTATGATTTACAACTTTTAAAAGTAGTGACGGCTGAGAAATGTCCGGGGAGGGGGGGGGGGGGGGACAATGTTAAAAGTATATATTTTCTATATAAATTCCATTTCGTTCGGGGGCGTTAGACTTTCTTGGGGGGGGGGGGCGAGGGGGCAGTGTTTCTTCCAGACTTTTTTCTCCGAGGGGCGGGCACTTGAAATTTTCGGGGGGGGGGGCCGATAGACTTTCTTCGGGGGGGAGGGGGGCGGACACTGTTAAAAGTATATATTTTTTATATAAATTATATAAATTTCAATTCGTTCGGGGGGGGGGGGGGGGGCGCTAAAAAAATTTGGAAGAGTTGCCTGGAAGAAACTCTGGGGGGGGGGGGGGGCGAAGACATGCCTGGAAGAAACACTGGTCGTGTGATGTTCTTTCGCAGTTTGGTGTAAGACAGATCATCCAGGGTTCGATGGAAATAGTTCTTTGCTGTTACGATGTTTAAAAACCCCTAAATTGTTACGCTCTGTAACAGATATAGCCAGAGTTTCTTCCGGGCATCTCTTCGGGGGGGGGGGGGGGGGGGGGCAC